GGGGGTTGTTAAATGCAGTTTGAGTGAGACTGAGATTGCAGACGGCGGCAAGAACTGTGGAGGGCCTTTATCGTTTTATTAGGGAGAAGCGTTGTTGTCGTATTATGGAGTTGAGCCGTAACTCTCTTGGCGTCTCCTGTTTTGGCAGACTGTCATTTATACACGTCAAAGTCACACGGAGGAAAGGAGGTTCTCGGGATCATGATCGTATACTGTACTCGCTAACGCTGTGGATGGTCCCTCACTTCACTTCCTCACCTTACATACGCTTGGATTATAAAGATACTAACCCACCACAGCCTTCAGATTTAGTCTTAAGCCTGGTGGTAGAATTCTGTTTCGTTGAGTCATGATATTTGGGAGTTCGTAGAAATTCACTGGTTGGGTTAATGTTGTCACGTCTTAAGCCACGAGGAATAAGAATTTTTTTTACCAATTTTTATAGATTTGTATATTAATTTTAAGTTACACCGGCCTTAATTTATATATTTACATATATTATTGATATTATTACAGCGAACCCTGACATCTTGGGTATAAATCTTGATGGATTGGTAGTCACTTTTTCAGGGACCATTTGGGTGTTGGGCGTGGCAGTAACACCACAACAGATATGTATCAGTGAGGTGGTCGGGGCGGCCTGGTGGTGGTGGTAGTGGGCGGCGGCAGCGTCATGCCTCGTAAAAAAATCATCCCATGATAAATCGAATTTAAAGTGTACATGTCACAAGTCACGACACACTTTGTTCTGTATAATGCAAAGATCCCTACCTAACTGTGTGACCTAATCAATTTTGTAAGTCGATAATATTCAGGCAAACGTTTTAGATATTACGATTTCTTGGATAAATCTTTGTATAATATTCTTAATGTTGTTGGTATATAATTGTCGAGGCAGGAAACCGAGGAACTAGTATACAACGGCAAAACAAAACCAATAATACCAACCACTAACAGCGTACAGTATACTCCGGGCAGAACTCTTCCCTCTTATCACTTCCCAAGTACACACCAGTTTCCACCAGCCAGTCGATTCTTTAATGTTTTTCCTAGAATATATGGTAATTCTAAATACATCATCAACCATAATTTAATCAGCTATTCCTAGTCAACAGGTTTATATTCTTACCAAATTTGAATCGAATAAATATGAAGTTATTTTGAAACGGACATAAGGGACTCGAAGTGTAAGCTATTGAATATTTTTAGTACTGTATATTATTCTCTCGGGCACTCAGTTGTCTCAAGACTCTCAATATTAATTTTGTTCTGTCACAATCTCTCGGGCCCTCAGTTTTTGTTATCTCAGGCACACAGTTGTCTCAGCCTTAATAATTGTTCTCTCAGCCACACAGTTGTCTCAGGAGCCTTAATATTTGTTCTCTCAGCCACACAGTTGTCCCAGGAGCACGTCTCACATCACCCAGTCTCTCCCTCGGCTGACCCGCCCCGTTTCGGATAGGATATTGTGGAAGATTCCCTTACCCAGCAAAGACAGCCTTGAGAGATTGATGGTGATGGCTGGCGGGGAGGGCGGAGGGCTGGTGGTTGGCAGACGCGAGGAATAAATAGGGGAATGCAGGAATGGAATGGATGAGGGAAGAGGTGAGGAAGAGGGTTAAGAGAGAGAGAGAGAGAGCGAGGGAGAGGGAATAAAGACTGTGTTATACAAGAACAAAAGGATTAAGAGGGGACAAAGCCATGAAAGGAGGAGATAGTAGCACAAGGAAATGAAACCGTGAGGAAGGAGGAGAACAACAGAGGGTAGGAATAAAGGAGGAACAGAGAGAGAGAGAGAGAGAGAGAGACGATAACGACGTGAAATATAAGCTGGGAGGAAAATGAAGTTATGTTGGGGGCGGAGAATGGAACGGTAAGGCTGTGGCGGAAGACAGAATAATGGAAAGAAATTGAACACTTAGAAAACAGAGATAGTCAAAGGGGTGAGAAAGGGGAGGGGGGAGGTGATAAAAGGTTAAAAGTAGCTAGGAGTGTTGTGGATTGGGGGGAAGATGGCGTTAGTGTAGAGGCGTCGACCGTCATTTATGTAAGCTGTGTCTGGCGTCGTGGCGTGGGATAACCTCATTTTTACGATCTTTTAATTTGATCTAGAGTATAACGTGAGGGATGGAACACTCTTGGGGGGGGGGGTTGATTATGATGTATAAATGTGCGTTTGTGTGTTTTGAGGGAGCGTCGTGGGGTCGGGTATGTTAGTAATTTGTATAATCAGGATGCAACATGACGCCTGGAATTTTTGCCGAGTCTAATGTTGCCAATACTGTATTGTATCATAATAGATTTACATTTTGTTTCTACCACTTGGGGGGAAAAACAAACAAACACAAAACAGACAGAAAAACTTAGCTTTTTTTTTTCTTCAAGAATTAATCCCATTTTTTTGTGCGGTCTATTTCACCCAAAATTAAACCCATTGTTGTTGTTATCCAAGGTGATGGTGTTATTGTTGTAGCGCCGACAGGGGGAATGGAGGGAGAGGTGAAGGGCTCTTGCTGTCTCTACTGAAATTTACGACTGTCTGTTTTAAAGATCTTGTGTTTGTGTGGCTTCCGATTCAGTGATATAGAATAAACATTGATTTTTTTTCTTCTAATCTATGGACATCCTGTATAATAAAATAAGTGCTTTCTTTTGGATGACCCTGTACATTAGCGTCTCGTGATAATGTGTTAATTAGCTGGTTATGTTAATTTATGAAGAATATTTGGTAGCAGAAGTAATGAGGACAAAGTCGGCTACTAGACTATTGCTTTAATAATGTTTCAATTTTGCCTCCGCTAGTCTTGTGTAATAAATCTAGCGGTTAATTTCTTTCATTATGCCCCTCTCCCCCTCATCGCCCTTCTCCTCTCTCTCCCTCTACCCCTTCTCTCCCCTCCTGCTGGTAGTGATGGCTTTCTTGGTGTACTGCTTCTCCTCTTCCTGTACTGCTCCCCTTCCTCAACCTCCTTTTCTAACACCACCTCCTCCCTCCTTCCCCTTCTTCCGTCTGTTTCTGCTTCCCCTCCTCCTTCCCCTCCCCTCCTTTTCTTTCTGCGATATCAAAATACTAAATACACAGGTAAATAAAATCAGCTTGATATACACATAATAAAGTCATCAGCGTCGGATCTATTCATTGTTGTTGTTCATCAGCTGTTTGTCTGCGTCACTACCAAGTCTACGGTCTGAAATTGCCAGGAATAACACGATCGTCCCAAAATAATCTGGATTTCCTAAAAATTTTGACATCAGCTTACTTATTTCGCCTGATGTTTAAATTTTTCCCTAACGATACTCTAGCTTAGTCTAATCTAACCTTACGTAATCTATCTTCGCCTAATCTAACACAATCTAACCTAATATAATCTAAACCACGAAGGTAGCGAGCGTAAACGCGGCGTCACAAATAGCTTTTCTATTGTTAACTTTTTCATTACAGTCAAATTTTCACGAATCGTTGTCGTTGGCTGTTTGTCAAACGGTATAGACCGTGGTGACCGGATAAAACCCCAACGGACAAAACCCCAGTCTCATATATAAAATAAAACACTTATGTTTAGGTTAGGTCTACATTGACAACGTGTACGACAATTTCGACAACTTATCGGAGTTAACTCAAGATCTATAATTAATACTACAAATAGTTATAAAAATAAACTAATTTCTACTTAAAATATAAAACTGAAATTATTATAAAGTAATTATTACTCTTTTTCCCAAGATAACTCATTTTTTGTTTACATTTTGACCACACTGTAATAACAACATGACGGAGCCAACAGGTTAAATAATTTCCCAAGTATGGACACGCCTCTTGGGGAGTTCTTGGTGGACCAGATAAGGCAGCGCCGTTGTCTCTGGGATCACCAGGACTCTTCATACACAAAAAAGGCGTATAGTTGCTGCGCAGTCTTCGTCAGGGAAATTGGCGAGTTGGTTCTAAACGCGTGTGTGTGGCGGTGCACAACAAAAAAAGTGTGACGAATTTCTGAAAGTTAAAAACAATAATGACGAAAGAATGACAGAGTGACACCGCATTTAGGGTGTTTAATCATCAGGTGAAATAAAGTGGAGGTGTATAATCTTTACGTGATTCAAAGTTCTGAATCATCATACGTTTATCATATTCAACAAATTTGCATTATCACCTGGTATTTACACCATTACCTCACAGTAAAACTAATAATAATAAACTATGTTTTATTGAATGTTTAGAAATAATTATTAATTTGTCATATTTGTTTACTTTTTCAAGACATCTGTACACGTTATAATACAAAGTGGATTAGAAATTGCACAACGAGCCCAGTATATTTTTTCTTAGAGTACTAGAGTGTATTCTGTGTGTCACTCCACCCACCCACTCACACACACACACAACACGTGGAGGTGACTTATTGAACACGACACACTCATGCCTATAAAGATCGTGTGCAGCATGTTGTGTGGGTGGTAATAGGCTATCACTTGACATTGATCTCTTGTCTGTAGATGTAGTTAATATTTTATTCCCAGCGCCAAATATGCATGGATAGTAATATTTATCTTCCTGTTAGTGTAAGATCTCTATTTGTGTGTTAATACTTGTATTATTTTAGTATTAATGCCACTTATGTTTCTTATCAACAATGCAATGTGGTTTTTATATGGTAAGAGCAGCTTAGTAATGTCTGTTTACATATTCAGTATACGTTATCTGATGCTAACTTCGAATTATAAATGCGTGTGTAGATAATTATCACCACTTGTTAGCGTGTAACACTCACTCCAGAAAGTATCTTTATGTAGGGTACGATGAATTTCAGAATGAACACTGTCACTCCTTTTGTCTCGGTAGGGTTATCAAAATCCTTCGTCCTTTGTGTCATATTGTCTCACACAAAATCTTAAGATACTTTTTGGAACGTGTGGGGTGCATTGGCTTATGGTAATGCATGTATAATATAATTTCAAGTGACAGCAGCGATAGTAATTGAAATGTTGTATGTGTGTGGCAGACTGGTAGTGGGGATGGGTCGGAGTGCGAGCCCTGTCAGATACAGCTGGAGGAGCGACTTGTCAAGACTAACCCCATCTGGTTCCTCCCAGACCTTCAGCGTTCGGGTGCTGTCCATCTACTGCAAGGCAAAGACGAGGGGGTAGGTTATCATGGCGACCTTTTTGTTTCATGACCATATTTTGCTTCACCGTGTAAAATATCCCCAGACCATTTTAGAAATATTTGGCCAGGAAAATATTGATACGTAATTTGCTAACATAATTTTTGTTCATCAGGACGTAGAAGGGGCTGCAGTGATTCTGTTATACTGGGTTATATTTGATTTAGTACTGTGTAGTATTTATTGTACTACAGTCTGAAGTCCTGCCTTGTAGTTATAGGTTTAAATCTTATATTTAATGATAGTTTTATATATCCAACAGTCAATATTTTCTCAGCATTATATAGGTAGAATATTTTGTGTATTTAAAACTTCACCATTTGTTACCAATGACCTACTTTATATCTTGTATAAAAATAGTATGTCAGCCTTTTTTTAATGCGGCGAATTGGTTAAGTTTTAAGAAATAGTTACCGCTAGCGTATGCTGTATAAATATGAGTAGGAATATTTTTGTGGGATTTTTAAACCTGAACTTTGTTATCCTCGAATCCCCAGTGAATAAGAATGTAGTAACTCAACAGATAAATACATGAACTTAATTCCAATACAGGATTACTGTAGTTTGTTATCAGACGGGCGGATGAACGGTAGAAATCTATCTTTTTTTTTTTTTAGCTTAGATAACAAATATTAAACTACGGAATATATTATGAAATATTTGAGTAAAAATAAACAATATTATCCCCAAAATATATTAGGGTCACATAAATGCAAGCCAAATTACACTGAATATATTATGGTATTTGCAGAACTTCATCGTCCGTCAGAGCAGCAAGCCCGACACCCGCGCCTTGAGTGTCCGCCTCCCTCCAGACAAAGGGCCATACATCCAGCACTACCTCATCGAGATACACAACGACGGAACTGCATACTCCCTTGAGGCCTCTGAGAATCGCTTCGATAATCTCCCGGCGCTCATTGCCTACTACTCTCAGTGCTGGTAAGGAAGGATCCAGCCTATTTTCACTAATGACGCTGGACATTTTTTTTTATAAGGGTCTGGGTTTTTCTGTTGACCGTATTTTCAGAGAAGTTTTTCTCTGTTCATCTGAAAACGATGATTTTCCCTAATGTTGTTTTTTTGGGTCCCACCAAAAATGCTGAAAATTTCGGTATAGGTCGTCCTCAACACACAGTTTAGGCATCTGTGGTCGAAATGTTGAAATTTTTAAAATAAATTTTTATTATTAAGAATCTTCATATTAATTTATATATTTGTCAAAACTTCATAATCAAGGATACTAATAAGACGATTAGTTATTAAAATGTCAACATTTCGACCACATCCTTAATCAGCATGTTGAGGACTACTGTAATAATACGTTTTATTTTATTTTATTCTTATTTACTTGTTTACTTACTTTTACTCTTTCTTTATTCTCTAATTCTCTTTTATTATTCTTAATCTTTCTCTGTTCTTTATGCTCCTGAGATGGAGGAGGTTGGGGGTAGAGGGAGCGAAGGAATGTGAGGGGAAGGAGGGTGTGGGTAGTCCCTAACTGTGGTCAACCTCTCCTACACTGAGGGTAGGTAGAGAGGGGATGCTGATGGGAAAAATAGCTAGGAATAGGAATAACATGTGATAACCAAGACACTAGGGGAAACAGGTGATAGGTTACGTTATTTCTAATGGGCTCACTGTATCATTGCATACCACCAAAACACTTCTAGCAAATCAGCCTTTCTTAATAAGGGAGGGTTGAAATAGGATTCTAAGTAACAGTTACTGCATTTATTGAATATTTTCTCTTAGGGTTAAACAATTACACTTGAGAACAAAAACCTATCTTTCTAGCTAGTTAAACTGGTCACATGAATCACAATACATTTCGTGAAAGGGATAGAACCTAAAGTGTACTCTATATACAGTATTCCGCCATGTGGGAAGATGACACACACACGTCCACACCCCCAAAAGAAAGACTTGTTTTAAAACCGGGTGCCTACCTTACTGGGGGCATGAACTCAGCCTCCAGCCAACCAGCACAGTTAGGTCTATGACATCACACTCACGGGTCACTGTGATTGGCTCACGCCTCGGGCACTTGGACACTCCTGGTGTAATGGCGGACAATCTTTGTATAAGCTGAATTTTCCTGTATTTCTCTAAACATGACACGATCTACTCCAGAACACATGGCATTGTTACACGACCTATACTGAGATTTTGAGCAAATTTAATTCTTTTGTTTGAAATCTCGGTATACTGTAGGTCGTCCTCAACACACTGATTAAGGATCTGTGGTTGAAATGCTGAAATTTGGGTCATTAAATTGTCTTAATAGTACCCTAGATTAAATGTGCAAACCTTCCGATGTAGGGGAGGGGGGGGGTGGTGATAGGTATTGTAGGAAGGGGTGTACTAAGGCCATGAGGTTAAAGCTATGTTATAACCAGGAGCTGAGGATGATAGGTGTAGGAGGAAGGACTTGTTTCCCAGATGGTATTTAAAGAGTGTCGTGTGTGGGCTGGACTGACTGGGGCCCTATGATTATCACTCCATGGCGGCTCTACTACATGGTCATAAATCTGCAGGGAGGAGTCGTATACTAGGCTGCTGTCTCTCATTCTGATCTCTCACTCTCTCTGATGTGGTCTTAAATTCTCCCTCCTGTCTTCTCTTCTCTCACTCCTTTCGCTCTTTTGTCTCTCCCGTTTGATAATTATAATGCTATTTCCCTTTTGTTTATTCCTTCCTTTATTTTATTTGCCACTTTTCCACCAAAGTTGATTTTTTGTTTTGCATTTCTTTATTCTCTTTGTCGTTTGTACCATTCACCTGAAGTTTAAACCCCAGCTTAGTTCACTTGATGATTACCATCCTAATGCTACCTGGGGGGTTAGATTAGGGTGGTTAATCTTCAGGTGAAATAAGCTTTAGCTAATATTCAGGTGAAAAAATCTAGGGGCTATCTTCAAGTGAAATAAGCTGGAGGTCTAATCTACAAGTGATCCATTTATATTATAATACTAATCAGTAACTGGTGCCAAGATGGCTTATATTAATCATGAGGTTTTAGTAATGATAAGTGATCCTCCACATCATAGTACAAGACAGCAACACCTTTACCATCATTACAAGGTGTCAGGATTTAACATAAAATGCAAGGACAGTGAATGTAAAGTGTTTTTATAGTAAACATTGTATTGAAACCGAGTTTGCCAATACCTAACTAGCCTTTCTTCATCTTATAGCTGTCCTACAGCAGTACAATAGTATCTGAAACAAAAAAGGTATAACAAAATGAGATTATAGAATACTGAAACCTAGAAAGAACATTTAGGCAAGTGCAAAGTGATAGTACAGTAATTCTTTATCTATATGGCTATGCAAAACTAAAAGCATTACATCCCTTAGACATACATTAGTACATAAGAACAATACAGAGGTAAACCACAAGTTCATAAAGTAAACTCTTCTCTGCATTGCTTTGGTGTTGACATTGTATTGATAGTTATTGCATTTTGCAGTGACGAGTTGCCGGTGCAGTTAAAGTTGCCTCGATCTGTTCAAGAAGCAAAAACCAGACACGAGCTCACCTCCCTGGCTCTACTTGGACAAGGTAAGAACCAGTGTAGTGTTATCTGTTTTACACTGTGTCTATTATTGGGAGGATTCTGTTATTGAGAATATTCACTGGTAAAAGAGGTTACTGTATCCATAAGTACTTTATTGAGAGGATTTACTGTAGTGTGGTTGTTGTCATTTTTCTTGTATTTATTTATTTTATTTAATGAACTTAGATGTCTTTTGGTATTAATAATCATTCATTGATTTACACCGTGAATATTAGAACAAAAAGTAAGTAGGTTTGGGGTTTTGTTTAGTGTATTTTTACTTTATTAAGATCTTTTGTTTTGTTTTGTCCTCAGAGTTTTGGGGTACAGCAATGGCCAGCCCAACAGCAAGTACTCCCACAGCCGATTGTCCTCGTAGTGCTGCCCCAACACCATCCCCGCGCCCTCACGACCTCTCCTTCAGCAGCTTCGGCAAGGGCGGAGTAACAAGGGGGATATCCTCCACCAGTCTCCTATCACCACAGACTCTAGGAGGGTTAGGTATCTCAGTAGGTTCACTTGGCAGTTCTATGGGAGGATCCATTGGAGGCTCGACATCATCTTTAGCGCCAATTAGACCAGCTCCTCCTGTACCACCCTCTGGGGACCGATCATCACTTAATTTAAATTTAGCCCCACTTGATGAATTTTTAAAGGAACAGCCAAAATTTACTTCATTCCGTTCCCAGCCAGCTACTCCAGTTACTCAGTTGAAACCTAGTACACCTGGCACCAAGCCCACACCACCACCTCGCTCCAGTCCACCTAGTACCCTTTGGGCCAGTCAGATCAGCCCAACAGGATCTCAGAGGCCATTGAATAAGCCCACTCCCCCTGCCAGATTCAGTCCGCCAATAATGTCGGAGATAGGAACTCCCACTAGTGAAAATGGGGAACTAATCCCTCGGGTCAGTCAGGCCCCAGCGCCACCTCCACGATGGGCCCGATCATGCATCACAACGTCACCATCAAATATTACAGTCACAACAACTTTAACTCTCAATGTTAACCAAGTGAAAGCTCTACCACTGCATTTAGATGATGGACAGCAGGGAATGACTGTACATGTAGCTAATTTAGAAATCTCCCCAACTGGCAGTAGCAGCTCACAGTCAAATATCCTAAGTACTACTCCAAATGGAAACCAGAATGGCACACTAAATGGCTGCAGAGATGGTCTACACCTACAAATTCGACAGCAAATAACCTCGCCTCAGAGCACACCATGTACGCCCTGTGCACCGAGCACTCCAATTGGAGAAGAGGCTCCTGGAATGCCAAGAGTTCGTTTGCGTAGTGGAAGAAGGGATAGACGAAGACTTTCCAATCATTATCACGAGGCCAATATTGTTGACAGTAATGCACCTTACTGTCGATCATCTCTGGCAGATAAGATTAGTGATTATGAAGACTTATGGTCCAGTCCACCTCGTGAAGTGCCAACAACCCCAACATCAGCACAGCCCAAAATGCTAACTTTTAAACCTCGAAATGAAATCTCTAAGTCAATGGGGGACCTCAGTGAAATAGCAAAAAATGCAAAACCAGTTCACTTTACCTATGATACAGATAATAAAAAGGAAGATGAGAGCACATACAATAATGAAAAGCAGAATGGTAACAGCACAGACTCTGTAAATTCTTATCGTAAAAATTCAAGTCCATTTTATATGGAACCAGCAGATGCACTAAAGGATCAGCAACCACAGGCGAGGATTAACAAAGCTTCAAACAAATTATCAAGGAAAACAACAAACCGCTATTCAGACTCTAACATCCAGTGGAAGACTAGAAAGAGTCACAACTCCTTGGGTAAAATAGATTCAAATGAAGACCTGCCATTATCATCAAGCATAGAAAACTTAATGAATGGTAAAAATCATGAAGCTGTTAGTATGAATTTAGAAGATGAAAAGAACAAGAACATTGAGAGTGAGAAAAACAAGGTAAATGCTGGTCATCTAGTCAATGGGCAATCCAGAAATGACGCGAGGCGCCACTCAAGGGTGGGAGGACGAGGAAAGCCAATAGCTCCACCCAGAATTAACAATGATCCTCTAACACCCAATGGTGAACAAATGCCAGAAATTTCTTGCCATGTCGCCTCTTCTTGGGAATATCAAGGTGTGGGATCAGACAATGAAGATGGCCCTTGTGGAGAAGGTAGATTCCCAGTTGGTGATACTGGAGGAGAATCAGATAGTGTCATGATTCCAGGTGATAGAACTGTACAAGATCTGATCTCCGAAAAACTTCCAGATCTGACCTTGGATTCTCAGTCGCTGGCACCGAGTTATGCAACACGCATTAGTGAGTATGATAATGTAGGAGGCCACGGTCCTGTTCGAGGAGAGGATCACCATCCCCTACAACATCAGAGACAGCAACCACAAAAAAACACTTCACGCAACATTCCTCTTGAAGAGCGCCTTCACCCACCGCTCCCCACTCACTACTTTCCTTCAACTGTGAGCGACTCAGGTACAGAGTTTTCTGAACCATGGGATTCAAGGAAGTGGGAATCATTAATGCACTTTGAAGATGACTCCTCAATTGACCAATATCCACGCAGCTCAACAGAAACCCCGGCTTTACGTCCTTACATTCATGAAGACTCAGATATGGGTGGTGCAGGCGTTACAGACACAGACTCATTTGTGCATGTGCTTGGAGAGTCTGTGGCTGTGAGTGATGATGAAACTGTTTCAATCTCAGGGACGCCAACCTTGTCCCTAGCTCATGCTCCCAACCTGGACACACAACAGCGGTCTAGAATTAGTAAGTGTCTGATACATACTTTCTGTTGATTATGTTTAAGATTTGAAAGTACAGTAAATCCTCCATTTTACTGACCTCTATATAACAAACTACAGTATATGGGAGAGGGAAGTATATTAGATAGAGGTTTCACATCGAACAGACTATCCTCTCCCATATAGCCCATTATATAAAGGTTTCACTGTACAGGATTGATAAGAAAACATACAGAAGGGTTATACTGACATATTTAAACTTGGTGGCATTTGTTTGCATCACACAGTATGTTATTAGATGTGAGAACCTTTTGTGCACAAAGGGAACATAGAAAACATTCATGCATATGGTTAAGTTTGACAGTTAAAACAGGTTGCAAAAGATTGTAACCTAAGTAACATTAGTTTTTGTTATAGATTCAAATTCGATTGTAAAAAGTCAGTCTAAACCATAGACCAGAATCAGAACTGGCTTACCTGAATTGACTTCCCTAAACTGGCTTACCTGATATTTTTGCTAATTGTCTCGCAATCAAAATTTCGAATGCAATGTTCAGTGATGGTATAAAAGAGTTTGGATGTGTAAAAATGTGTAGTTTGCAAGTGTAAAATATATTTTCCGTTTGCATATTTGAGTGACATCCTGCCATATTTAGCCCTGGTCGAAGGATGTCACTTTGTACAGTTAAGAATACAAGTCTCATAATTGACCAACTGACTCGGCTCTGCACCCTTGTATCTGTTTCTATCTCAGACTGTCACTCATCAGCACATTGTCATAAAACAGTAGACAAACTTTGCACCCTCACTCATCTAAATGTATTGACAGCTTCATTGTGTCTGATATTTTAGCACAGATGTAAAAGTAAATACAAAATTTCAGAAGTTCATGAAATATCACTGTTTTTCATACTCTAGGTTGCATTGAACAATAATCTTCCTTATCATGTAATTATGACCATTCACTATATTTTCAGTAAAGTACAGTACCATTTTTCCCGACAGTGTCACCGCAGTTACTTGCGCTGCGTCACCGCCAGGATGCCGAGAATGGTGCTGCCATTAAAGCTTACGCAATGGGCTTGGGGAGTGACACTTCCACAACCTTCAGTCGGGCTGTCAGCAATTTTATTACCTGCACGTTCGAGAGCCCCGAGCGAGACCCGGCCATCGTCACCCGTAATGTCCGTCAGTTTATGTCTGGGATGAAGAATTATTTAGTCACGAGCGGCGAGAAGGAATTTGAAGCAATAGTCAAGAAACAGCGAAGTAATGTAAGTGCAAAGTGCAATTGAAGGTTAGCTTGTACTGTAGGTATCAGAACACAGGTGTACAAAGTATTATACAGGTACATAAACAAAAGCATAGTGATCCGAGAACATTAATGCCAATATTTTGAAGATTTTTGCTTTTATATTGCGCATCATACCAGTTAACTACAATCCAATATAAGCTTCAGATCTTACTACTGGGGTGATAAAGCCTCTTATACTGTGCTTCTCTCATCTGCTGCTTCACATCACTTTAGAGCAGGGTTGGCCAGTTTAAATCGTGCTTTAAACAAATAAAAACATTTTGTGTTTTTAATGTGCCTTTTTTCTTGGTCTTATAGAATTTTGTTGGTTTTGATTACTTAGATGGTTTTAAATATAAATTTGGAAAAATGTATGATAGGGTAAACAGAAAAGCATTATGGGGGGCATTACAAATGTATGGGGTGGGAGAAAGGCTATTATTAAATCTATGAGATTGCTGTTTACAATTTGATATATGTATAATTACGTGTCCAAATGACTTCAAATATTGGAATTGCTTTTCTAAGGCTAAGTACTCACTACCTAAGGTTTTTTCTATTTTAGAGAATTGTTTTACGGGAATACGTATATGAGGAATTATTGTTTCACTTGAATTCATGCCTCAGTTTTCAATGTGGTCTGTAGTAGCGGTAATTTTTTCCATAAAGAAAATTATTATACTGTATTTACAGTAGACCCTTGCGAATTCGTGATTCACGGTAAGTAGATGGTGGCTAGCTTGCAAGCCTTTTCTCGCAGCACAACAAGTCACCCTACTCGGCATCTCATGTTGTACTCTCAAGACTTTAGTGTTTCTGTGTGAAATGACCCCTAAAAGACTGCCTAGTGTCAGTGCCAGTGCCAGTGGAGTGAAATGTAAAAGGCAGAAGTCAGTGATGACCCTGACAAAGAAAGTTTTATTATTAGGTAAGTTAAAAGAGGGGACAAGTGCTGCTGCGGATGGTCAGTTGTTTGGTACAGTATAGGTATACAGTAGTGCACTTTGGTAGTATAAGTTGCTTTTCACGGTTTTGCCAATTAGCACTATTTCTTGGAACCTATCCCTCGCAAATGGCAAGGGTCTACTGTACATACTGTGTTAGGATTGTAATGGAATGATGATAATGACAAGAATCTTTGAGGAAGTTGAGGTTTTAACTGATAACACCTCAGTAAATCTTATGAAGACTCCTCCTACATTAGAAATATGGTGATTCATACAAATTATTCTCTTTTTACTTGTCTGTACAGTATATATGAGGAGAATAAAAAAAAAAAAAATCACGTGGGGTATACAGTATAGTTTGGATTTACACTGTCAATTGAACCTGTGGAGGTCCGCGTAAAATGAGAAACGCGTCAATGAAATAACAGAACATATGGGATTAATTGAAATAGAGACTGGGCCGACCCTCAAACTCCACTTTTTGCCGACACAATACGTACGTTGTAGTAAAAATAGTATCTTAACTTTATGATGGTATGCACACACACATAATATCTAAATAAAAAACTACGCTACTGTACAAATAAAGGTGTTTAACACTTACGTTAGTAGAAGAGATGGGTCGGCATACGTGGATGGCGGCTGGTTCCGAGGCAGAGGGCAGATTAGTGGCCCTCAGGTGAATCACTTTCACTATCCACCACAGTTGTCAGGGCCTCCCTGACAAATCCCTCAAAGTCAACATCACTGTCACTGACTTGGGCTGGCTGTGGTGGGTTGCGGGCGAAGAAGTCCGTGATGTTACGCTGACGGCTAGTGTTGACGTGTACGTGATACATCGTGATGTACTGCTCCATACCTTGCTGTAGATGGTTATTGAAGACTTCATACTGTTGATTGTCAGGGTTGTTGGAAAGGATGAGCTTCAGTTTCTCTGCAAACTCGATGGCATCCTTAACATTCCCATGTGTTTACTTGTGTTCTTCTCGGGCTGACGCACCACCTGCATCTTCACTGATGTCATCATCATCCAACATCTCGTCGGCAGTCACCTCAGGATCCCTGATCACCTCCATAATGTCTTCGTTGGTGTTCTCGGAGAAGCCTGCAGCTGTAACACTCTGTGCAGCTTCTCTTGCAAGGTCCACTGCAACAGACTGAACCTCACCAGTCACAGGTTGACTCTGCCTCCCACCTGGGATATCTTGCAACACATGCCGCCACGCATGACGAATCGTTGCCACAGACAGCTGCCTTCATGCCTCCACCAAGAAATCAACAGCTTTCTTGACGATTAATTTCTTCCAAAACCGTTTGACGCGAACTTCTTGCTCTGCCAACTCTTCTTCGTCGCTCTCGCTATCGGTGTCACCCAGGTTACGCAACTCATCCTTGGTGTTGGTACAGTCGTTCAGGAGCTTAAACTTCTTTGCAGAGAATGCAGCCTTAACGTTGCATATCAACTCCTGGTCCATGGGCTGGATTAACGACGTAGTGTTGGGAGGAAGGAAGACCACTTTTACATTGGGGTGACGATCCAACAGTAGGGGCGAGTGTCCTGGTGCGTTGTCAAGGAGCAACAAAATGTTGAATGGAACATTCTGTTGCTCGCAGAATTTCTTGACGTCGGGAACAAAACAGTCGTCAAACCAGGAGAGGGACAGAGCAGTGAACATCCACACCTTACGTGAGGTTAGCCAGTGGACATTTAGCTTGGTCATGTCCATGTTTTTGTAGGCGTGTGGCTTGCGGGCTGTGTGGATCACCGACAACTTGAGCCTACAGGTACCGGAAGCATTGGTGGTAAACAGAACAGTGATGCGCTCCTGCAATTTCCGGGCCCGACACTTGCTGGCAGACTTGACAAAGACAGTCTTGGTAGGTAGCTTTTTCCAAAACAGACCGGATTCATCCATGTTGAACACCTGGTCGTCGGTGTACTGTCCTTCCTCCATAACTTCTCATAAGAATGGAGGAAAATCACTTGCTGCAACACGGTCAGCACTACCACCTTCACCAACAATGTTAATGTTGGTGATCTTGTTCCTCTTCTTAAACCCTTGCAGCCACCCAGAGGAAGCAGTGAAGGGTCTGGGCTCTGCAATTCCCATCTTGCGTGCCACTGCCACATACAGTTCACGTGTGTACTCTTGAACTGACTGTGTGTCCACCGCCATGTTCCGTCTTGCCCGACGAATCAAGTAGCTCACCAGCAAATTCTCAGTCTTGAGCAACACCTTGTTCTGTCAGTACTTCACCATTGAAGCACCTGCAGTCTTTGTGATGCTCATGTGTTATTTTATCTTGGCGGCATCCTTCTTGATCGTCCAGATCGTAGATTCGTTCACGCCATGCTGGCGCGCCAAATCAACTTGCCTCGTACCTTTTTCCAACTCCTGCTTAACTTCATAGCTTGAAGCTCGTCATATCTTCTTAGGCTTGGGGCAGCTTGGACCAGGTAGTTCAAGGTTTTTCTGTGGTGTTGGGGGTCCAGCGGAAGCCATTGTTGCGAGATTAGCGGGCACACGAGACAATTGTATATGCAGTGACTGAGAACAATGTGACTGGTGCGGGGTAGGTCAGCGGGTTCTTCCCTCCCGTGGCAGGGCATGTCATATTACATTAAACCAATCACAGCTAGTGGGGGAGGGAGGTAAGGATGCGTGGCACAATCACAGTCCGATACGTCATATGACGTCAGCGATAACGTAACAGCAACCTAATGCGCACCCTTCACGGCGCATGGTCGAGAATGGACCGCTTGAATGAAAAGTGGCGTGGAGCGTCTGGACCTCCAGCCGCTCTCCGCATAAATGACCAAATTTACCGCGTAATTAAAGCATTTCAATTCTGGCAAGGCACCGCGTAAATTACCAAACGCGTTAACCAAAATCTCGTAAATCCAGACTATACTGTACCTGTATATTTATTACAGTACACTCAAAAATTTTATTAAAAAAAAAAAGAAGGGAGAACAGGTCCATACACAGTATTTCCACTGGTTCACCTATGGAACAAAAAACTACCCCTGGTAATGCTTTGAGTCATAGATTTATCCTTGTCTGAAGCATATAATTTGTGTATTAGTAAAGAAATGTTTTATAAACTTTCACCAGAATATACATCATTACTAGACAAAGTACTCAACACTTAAACATTTTTGTTCATATCTTTACTGTGAGTTGGATAGTTTATTCATAACTTTCTAATACTGTACTGTTGTTCTCTTTTATAACAGCTTAAGGCAACCGAGTTCCTAAATCTGGATGCCATCTTGGAAGACGTTCTGGTCCGACTTGTACTGCGCCCTCTGTGGACCCATATTAACAAACTGTTTGTGGAGGCTTACTCAGCTAATGGCTCTATCCAGTTACTGGCCACAAACATGAAATATGCAAAGTCACAGCCATATATCCGCCTTGGTATACGGGTGAGTAACATGAAAAGTAACATACTGTATATTTCTATTGTATACTTACTTTAGAACTTAATCTTTTTTCAACTTGAATAAAAGCAAGTTTACCTTATGGTAGGGAGGTTATGTAATGTTTGATAATCAAGGCCCATGGAACTATCTGAATCTCAGCCTGGCTCGCTGAATGTGCCTTGAGCACAAAGAAGGTTACGTGATTGTAAAATAACCATTCAAGAGCCCTGCATGCCCAGTACAGTACTTGCCAACAATGTGTAACATAGAACCAGCTATTAAGCAGACACAAGTAGTGAAGAAGTAAGGTATGCAAAATTGTTATGGTGTTAGAGATTCTGAAACTACATACTTTAATGTTAAATACCTGTACAGTACTAGATAATTGTAAATGTTTTTCATTCACAGCCCGAGTTGTCACCACCAAGTGGAAGTTCTCTTGAAACTATTCGCAGTCTTTTAACACGAATGCAGAAACTGTTTGCCCCAAGAGAAAAATTAGAATTCCTCTTGGCTACCATCTCACACATATACCAAGCTGTGAGTATTACTCTTCTTTTTCAGCTTCCTGGATCTGTTTTGAGTGCAAGGAGGGAAAGTATTAGACCTACTGAGATTTGAATGCAGAGAGAACCATGTCATAACAAACAAAGATAGGGAAGTATTGTTCAGGGAGATTGTTTAGCCAGCATTAGTATGTGGATATGTAGCACAGAGTCTGAATGTTTAACAACTATTGGCAAGATTGAGATAAAATTTTGCCTAATCTGAGTACAGTACTTCAGTCACTGAGGGGGCTGTAATTGATTACTGCCAGGTAGAACAGAGTATCAAGCACAAGAGATAATAGAGTACAGCATATTCATTAGTGTCATATTAACTTGAAATTTTGATTTTGTCCATAATCTCATATAGGTGCTCTTGAACATGCTGATCTGTGGTTAAATTTTTTTTATTTGGGTAATTACTGGTCCTTATAATTCTTGGAAACACATTAAATAATGTTATAATGTAATTACACAATGCCAATGATTTTTGATGGCAGTCATTGGTTTTTTTGTGTTATTTTGGAGGTGCTAAAATAGTTATAGTAAAGTAAATTTAGTATAAATAGTAATCAGGAACTTTTATACAGAATTCATAGACTTCTTTGGGATAAATATAGTTTTTGGATTTCAGATGTATGAAAATGGTGACACATCAGGTTCAGGAGATGCTGATGACCTTGTTCCAATGATAATGTGGGTCCTGAGTCAGTCAGGGATGGTGTCTGCAGAGGTGGAGGCAGACTACATGTGGGGGCTGCTCCTTCCTAGTGCCTCATCTGGAGAAACATCATACTACCTGGAAGCTTTTCATTCTGCTATTCATGCACTTAAAAATCTCTCTCCTTCACCTGAGTCTTCACCTGGAAATAGTCTTGATTCTGTTAGACAGGTAAATTACTTGGATATTGCAAAGTTTTCAGTTTTTTTTTCAAATGAATTATGCAATACATTACTGTAGTCATGTTTAACTGATACAGGACAAACATTTATTTTTTTATTTTACATAAAATTACTAAATTTACAGGATGTGTCTATGGTGTCAGACCAGGGCATCATGAAGATCGTTATACCGGATGAGAAGAATGGTAGTATAGTCACTCGCACATTACCCATAAGACCGGCAACCACCACACGTGAGGTTTGCAAAATGATGGCACACAAGATGAAAGTAACAAACCCCCAAGACTACGGACTCTATAAACTTGTGGATGGACTCGGTAAGTGTGTGATCATGTGATTTTGTGTTGCATTTTTGGGGTGTCCAAAAAGGCTGGGAACATAACCTATTGAACTCCATGTTATCATGATCCCAATTTTCGACCTGCAGTGGGTTTTTCGAGAACCTAAACCCATCTTGGCAAGTTTAGGTGTTTCAGATACCCAAGACTTGGTGTCATTTTCTTGGCGAATTTAAATGCTTTGGACACCCATGACCATACAGTCTTGGTGTCAATTTCTCTTCAAATTTGGGTGTTTCAGACACCCAAGACTATAGTCTTTGGTGTCTTTTTCTTGGCAAATTTAGAGGCTTCAGACACCCAAGACTATAGTATAGTCTTGGTGTCTTTTTCGGAGCTAAGAAAATTATGCCTCTCGGGTGTCAAACACCCAAATTTGCCTGGAAATTTCCATAAAATTTGTATTTTCATGCTTTTTTTCTGCTACAATTCTCTTGGTACCTTTTTATTATCAAAGCTTTATTTGTTTGAATTTATATACAGTATTACAACTTCTATTAATATAGTAAATACAATTTAAATTCTTGTTTCTATATTTTATAGAATTAATGCAAATAATATACTTGTTTCATTTCAGAGACCTTGCTGTCGGATAATGAATGTCCACACAAGGTGAAGTCAGATCTCACCACTCATGGCTTCCATTGTACCTTTGCATTCAAACGCATCGATGCCAAAATTGCATGGCCAATACTCTCTTGATTGTAATTATATACTCGGTGTATTGTTCCCAGATATGATCTGATAAGGCTTTAGTGTTATGATACTCTTAATAACAGAAAATTACACTGCACATTTATTTTCCCTTTAAGTAAAAACATGAAATTGATAATGCCAGATTGATTTATGCTGTAAATATTCATTGGTTACGGGAGATAAAACGGCATGTAAAACTTTATCATTTTAAATTACATTTGGTGTCTTTTTGCTGTTTAGATCACTCGCCAAGTACTGAAAACCGGGCATTATCTCGCAAAAAAAAATACGGAAATTTAAAGTAAATCACATTCAGGGTAGTTGCAAGTTTATTAATTACAGAATCAAGAAATAGTTACCCCTTCAGAACCAAGAAATGGTTTTAACCTTCAGGATATAGTTTTCTTGCTTTTTTTTTTTTTACCTGTAATTTTCCCAGTGCAGCAATAAAGACGAGAACAGTGAAGCTTGGTTCATAAGTTTATTGATAGAAGGGGGACATATAAAATAATAATGATACCATGCATTTATTGTTAATGTAATCGCATCCCTTACAGTTTTGTGTTGATGTATATACTGTTAATAAATGTGTCACAATTTGTGTATAACTAGAGAATCTCATCTCATAGGTTATGTAATTTGGGTTAATACTATAAGAAAGCATTAAATAGCTCACCTGATGATAGTAGTAATCTGGCATATTATACATTACTTAACTGTACATTATTCATCATTTAGATATGGAGACAATATGTAATTATTACCTTTTAACTGTCTTGATACATGTAGCCTGAGTTATCATACCCATTGCAAAACTTGACCATTTCTCTAAAGTACTGTATTCTAAAGTTCAAATATATCTTGCTGTATGTGAATTTACCACACGTTTAACAAAACCTTTTTGTTACCTTACTAAGTGAATATAATTGACACAATCATTCAGTGTTGATGTAATCGTCTAGCAATAGGGTAAAGGAGACCTATAGATCCGAGTGTGCTCAATATTATCGTATGCAGTGAAATTATCAAAGTTTAATTAAAATCTAGGAACTCTAGTGTTTCATTTGTGTGTTAATACAAAATTTCCCTTTAGTTTATAATTAACTTACCTTTGACAATAAGCCTTAGTTTTGCTCAAAATGGTAGCTGTAGGTGTGTATTGTGGTAATGAATTTTGAAAGCTTAGAGAACAGCTTATGGATACTCAGGCTTATCATTGTATATATACAGTATTGCAAGTGATAACAAGAAAGTGTTTTGACATACTTTTGTGAAATTATTTGCATGATACTGTACCAAAAAGTGCTGTTTACACACTGTATATGGATAGAAGCTTGTAAAGTATAATTTATTATATATTTTTTGTTTATGTTTATATGATTTCTCACCCAGTGTACTGTATAGGTGCTTCAGACTACTAGGTGAGACAGGCAGAGTAGTGGGAATGCTCCCTTTAACTCAAGAGTAGGAATTACCACAAACAGAAATGTCATGTAAACAGTGCCATTCACATTTTTACACCTTTTTTAATGCTGAAAGACTTTGGGCACTTCACATTTAGCACCAAGGTTTTGATCTTTTATTTTTTTCTACATCCAGCAGTGAATGATTTTCTACTTTTATAAAAAACTCTAACCATATCACATTTGACGTAGTTTAGCGGTAGAATCAATCTGATGTGTAATATTTACAACTCCTTTTTGTATATAATGTACTTTCTTTGCAAATAATGCTGAATGGCTGTGTTACAGTTGGTGTAAGGGGAACCCATCTGTTTGATTTGTAAACTTACTTGGAAAGAAAATAGGTTTTAGATCACCCTCCCATACATGGCACTGTTCTAGATATTGGTGTGTAATTATTACTGTTAGTGCCTGTTGATTAATTAATGTACTGTACTTTTAATGGGTCAAGAAGTTAACATCAATTGCAGTTGACACCAAGTTATAATCAAAGTCAAACTTATGGGTGACCATGTTTGCGTACAATGTCTAGTCATTGCTTGGTAACTGTAGTTGCATTAAAGCTTTTTATATACTAATATCAAACATTATTAAATCTATTTCCAGATCTTAGAATTGAAGATGTACTGGTATATTGGAACTACATCTTTTAACTAAAATGTTCTAAGATGTCAATAAATTAATAAAGAAGCTCACATTTTAAAGTCTATGATTCTTGTTTACCTAAAGTATATACAGCACCATACTGTAATGCATGTGAAAACTAATGGATGTGTTTAGACTGATGTGAAAAACGCATGATGACTTAAACCCTTCAGTACAATGACTTGATTTCTGTAAGAACAATGTGTTCTTATAAACATGATAACCTATCCCCTTCAGTAAGATAACATCATACCCAGGGGTTAAGTCTTCATACTCAAGGAGTTAATACACAACTGTATACATTAATTTACAATACAGTAATTACTATACTGTACTCACCAGCAGAGGCTGTCATCTTGGGCTTGTGATGTAGGTAGGCCAAATGGTGATATGATGATAGAGGATGGCCTGCCTTTGTCCTGTACCGTCTACTGTAGCAGGTGTTACGGTCACTCTCCTTTCCCCCCCATAAAGGAAGGATACTATACATATACATCTACACACTAACTACAGTAAGCAAACACTGTCCACTGCTGAATGTACAGTACAATATACGTAACTGTAATCACGTTTTATGTCAACACTGTATTCTTGGCTAATTGTGTACTGGTATAGTAATATACAGTACTGCACAACACAAATTGTAAGCAAAACCAGCAGCGACTGAATGATCAACCTTGTACAATGGCAGCAGAATATGAAATATGTGAGTGAACCTATGGACTAAAGGCACCCACACACTATCAAATATGTTTGTCAAACATGATGTTTTATCATGCATCGCCACACACTTCACAACTAGAATGATCAAACTTCAGTTGGTGTCTGGTACGTGCCGCCTCAACACTGGGTGACAGCATGTAAGGAGGCAGCCTGTATTGCTATTATACTTGCTCTTGAAACAGAGACTTCAAAGAAAATACAGTAGTACCCCGATTTACGTGGTCAATTGAATGCACAGGGTACCCCGTTAAGTGAAATCCGCGTAAATGGAACAACAGAACATATGGGATTAATTCCAATAGAGACTGGCCCGACCCCCCAAACTCCACTTTTTCCAACACAATACCTATGTTGTAGTAAAAATAACATCTAAATTTTATGATGGTATGCTCACACAATTAATATTTAAGAGAAATACAGTCACCAGGTTAATGTCCATTCAAATAATAGACTCAAATCATCCCCCCCCCCCTCTTCCCAGCTCACTGGCCCCTACCTCTCTGAGAAATGATTGGGTGAAACACTAGATTTTAACGTTTAGTAATAAATAATACCTCAGACTAAAGTTAGGATAATATAATTGACATTTCTGGATTCCTTGTAAGACCAGGAACATTTTGAATATAAATGTCATATATTTTGCACAAAAGATAACATATTTACTCAGATTAAACATTACATCTAAAATTTGTATGTCTAATGCAAAATCTATGATGTTTATATTCAAAATGATCATCAAATTGTAAGAATTCCAAGTTCTTTAGGACACAAATATCTATACAGTATTATATCTTTTTTTACACCAGATCCTTAACCTGATAGTGGTTAAATACATAGATCTTCATACATGAGTGGCCTTCTCTGAGAGGTTAGGTACAAAGATCAACGAACTTGATTTTTAAACTTCCTGCGGCATCTGAAATGGCCCGAGGGGTTAATATAGATCAAATATGGAACAAGGCAACCTCTAAAGACAGGTGTGAGGCTTACCCTTTGAGTGGGCCTCAGTATCATGTAACAGTTCTGTTAGACACAGTGAGATGCATTGTTGCCAGTTCATGATGTAAACAATGTTAGTGTGAAACAATAAACTTGTAACTGATACGCTTATCACTGTTATGAATAAATTAAACATATATAAGTAATAAAAGTGGCCAAATTAAGTGACAGAACAGCGAAGATATAATTCCATGAGTAAAAAACATGACTTGATGTGGCATAATGGTACAGTATATTACACCAGTCATAAGACAGAGCGAGCCACGCCTCCAGCATCAACCTCATGGCCCGAGAGCATCAAAATGGCGAGTACTGTACAACCGAAATGACTATTATTCTCATGTTTTATTTACCAAACTGCAACTTTTTCAGCCCCCCCCCCCCCTTCCACCAAATCACTTTTAGCCGACCAGGGGATGATATTGAACATTCCATAACACGACCACTAATGAGTTAATCGGCACACCAAACAGTACAAGGTGTCCCCAAATTCAAATGGATATATTCCTGGACCTTGTTCATAAGTCAATTTGTTATTAACTCAGAACCACATTAATTTCACAATATAATATAAATAAAACCAATCTCTACCTATAAAATCATAACAATTACAACCCATAAATAACAAAGAATAAATAATGTAAATAAAGTCATGCAATCAAAAACAAAAGCTTGCCCCAAATCCCCCTGCCAGTACCTGTATTATGTTTCTGTTCATAACACATACTGTACTGTATATGGAGTTCCTTCCACCAACAGTTGACCTGCAGTCCACTCACAAGACAATGACGCATACAAGTGTTGGTGGAAAGAGCGTCATCTGGCTGGGGATTTTTCAGCACACTTTTGGTTTTGAGTGTATTGGCAGTTCCCAGGTTATGAACAAGTTTCGTTCCTGGGGACGTTCTTAAGTAAAAAATGTAACTAAGTTAAAACACATGCTAGTGCATACTGTACTTGCAGAACGATGTTTAAAATCCCACTATATCATAGCCTAAGTACTTATACAGTACTGTATACATCAAAAATCATTTAATTTAAGACAAAAGAAGAAATAGAATGAAAAATCACAGTAAATGAAAGTAAAAAATAAGTTATCAGGTAAATGAAATACTGTAAATTTGAAGTTTAATCTCGTTCATATTGGCGGATGTTCGTAAATTGGACATTCGTAACCTGGGGACTGCCTACTATACTGTAAATAATGATCAGAACAATGTTGTTTTAATTACCTTGACTCCTGAAGATGGCTGTTCATAGGAATGGATGGTACTAGGAAGACTGGTGGAGGACTTAATGTTTATCATGAATATAATAAGATCGTGTTCGAAAGCACAGGTGTTCATAACTCTGGGACAACCTGTAATATGTTCAAAATTTGAAAAACTACATATTTAAAGAAAAATCAACATTGGAAATGCTCTATGGTGAGGAATTCATCATCAACAACATTTTGCACACTTGCGTGGGTTAGTCCTGATTACCTGATGGCTGGTGTTGGGTAAAACCACAATGGGATGTCTCCCCTCCCCCCCTTTGCTTACCACCACAAACCCAGGGTGCCAGCATAGACCAGGAGATGGGACACCTCTGGTCACCAGGCTGCCATCAGGCATGTTGAAGTAGAGTTCTATGTCTGGAAACCCTTCCTAACACCAGCCCAGAGGGTCAAAACTCCTTGAGATAATTATAATCAAACACTACCTGCCTACAAAATTAAATTCAAATTTTCCAGCATATTGCAGAAGAGATCTTACACAGGTACCACATGCCTCACTGTACTGTACATTACCTTGCTATACCTCACTGTACTGTACATTACCTTGCTATACCTCACTGTACTGTACATTACCTTGCTATACCTCACCGAACTGTACATTACCTTGCTATAACTCATTCCCCATACAGTACACACTTGTTGCTGAACAAAAAATTTCAAGAATTTTTTGTAACACAAACACAACAGCCTTAGAATGCTGAACAACCATCCAATTAATCCCTCCACTACAGCCACACCAAACTTATGTAAGTTGAACACACTAATAATTCCTCCAAGCAAATTTTATTATAAACTATTAATAAGTTTCAATAATTACTGTATTTTACAGCATATAAATGCACTTTTTTGTCTGAAAAATAGCTAAAAAAAATCGGCCTGCAACCTATATGTGAAGCTGAGGTCTCCCATAAGCTAACGAATCTCCCAGTTGCTATCTCCAGTAGGCTAAAGTCTACCTAACCCAACTCCAGAATTAAAAATATGTTATTGCTTACTTAAACACAGTACGTATTATTATTTCTAACTAATTAAAAAAAATTATTGTAAGTATAAAAGCTGGATGTATAACTACCGTACTGATGATGATAACCTGAGATGATTAATGCCCGTACGGCACGCACCCAATTCTTCAGAGCTAAGCAGTAACCATTACTGAACTCTTACAAGCATTATTATCTCTTAATGCCATACCTGAAACATTTATTTCTAAATCTATAAATACCTGATACAAATGAAGATTTACAGATAACTTTATTTTCACATTTGTGTCCATTAACATCGCTGGCCACGAGTTAGCTGGCTCAGTGTGGGAGCAGAGGAGGGCACAGAGTATGGGGGGTGGGAGGGTGGGTGGAACGCTTCTAGAGAGTCGGAAGAAGTAGCGTCCCTACTGGTCTGCATTGTTACGGCGAAACAGGGAGTACGTATATGCAAATGGCGATTGTGTTAAAGTTTCATTTGTCGTTTATTTATTGGTTTGGCAATACAGAATTTTTTTTTTTAGTTTATTTATTGGTATTATTTTAATTTATTCCTCACATTTACTGGTACAGTACTGATGATATTATTTTAAGAAAACTACGGCTACAGGAGGAAATCAGACAAAAGTTTTTTCCTAAGTACTCCCTACTGAAATGCAAGATGTGTCTTATATGGCCGTGCATCTTATATGCCATAAAATATGGTATTATTTTCAATTCAAACCCATCAGAAATTAAGATAACTTATTATAAATCTATACCCTACTGTACATATTGGTAATCAGTGTTTTGTCTTTCACAGACACGTGCAATAGTGTACAGTACAGTACAGCAGCACAAAGCTTATGTAAAGTGAACACTAAATACTGTATCGTACAGTATTCTTTCCAAGAACATTTTATAAAAAAAAAAAAAATAAATTACTAATTTTCATCATAAACCCATTGTAAATTAAAATACTCAAATATAAATCCATACTGTACACTATTGTACATACCTACAGGTAGTTCTGCTATAACGCGATAATTGTGTTCTTGTAAAATATCGTGTTATAGAAAATCGCGTAATAGAAATAACAGGGCTTATGGAGAAAATAGGGTTAGGTGCAGATTACTCGAAATCGAAAAAATTAGTAGTTAGCCTAACACAAAGGATAGCACAGTCTAAATAAATGTTACATTCATATCTAATAATGAAATCATACAGTAAATGTAACACTTTACTTGATGGGGGAGAAGGGTGATTTTGAGGTTGATAAAATCGAGCTTCTCTTCAAGTGTTATATCCTTTCTTTTACGATCATCGCCGGGAATTCTATCACCAGAACGCTTCTTGTTGATATTCTTCTTTACTATATTCACATTATTTAAATTTTATTTATTTTTTATTTTTTTTCTAATTTATTGTTTTTTTATTACAAATATTAATGATATTCTTTATTTCAGGGGTTTAGATGCATATTTATGCACTTTTTTACAATTTTTACAATTTTATATTATATTTTTCAGTGTTAAGTGGTTGTATTTGGAGGCCTGGAACGGATTAATCCTATAACGAATGAATGCTATAACGAACAAGGTTCTAGAACCAATTAGATTCATTATAGCATACCCCACTGTACCACAAAATTGGAGAAACAGTAAGCAAAAATCGCGTTATAGCAAACAAGCGTTCGCGTTATACAAATATCGTTCCTAATTCACAAATCGCGTTAGAGCAAATTCGCGTTATCAAAACACGCGTTATAGCAGAACTCACTGTATCAGTAACTGGAGTTTAGGGTAAGTTGTAGACAGGTAGAGTACGATTGCTCTCAGCTTACCTGAGGTTCATCCCAATAACTCCACCACTCCCCACCCCAGTCAGATCAGCCTCTATGCACAGTTACGTCAACCATCTTGGTAATATCGTACAGTATATCTAAATATTAATTTTAACTTAAAACTTTGTCCTCAAAGGGTTAAATAATCATTCTCAACTCAACTCCAGAATACAACACAGACAACACTAATCACCACAGGTAAATAGGTACAGTGTAAATCAAAGGTAAGGAACTAAAACTATAACATTTCCCAAGTCAATAAGATTTATCACCATATCGGCAACTCTTATTATCTCTCACTCGTCTTGTTATTGTACTTGCTTCTCCTTCATCTCATTTTTCTCTTAATTCTTGTTCTCTTCATAATGTTAATAATACGCAGTCATTTTTTTTATTTGAAAACGTATTATGAGAAGTGATACCTCTATTAAACCGACTACATCGAGAGGAAAGTCCATTATATTGAGGGTCCGTTGGATGTGAAACCCCCATCTAACGAACTACAGTGATATCCCCGTTAGCTGGAACAATTGGTGCAGAGCACTTCCGGGAATGAGAGATTTCTGGGTAAAGAGACGACTCTCTCAAAGCTGGAAAAAAATCCCTCATCCCCGGAATTTTCCGGATAACGGAATTTTTTGGAGGGGAATTTCCAGAAAATGCTCCCGATTTTCATCTTTCAAATCCGGAAAAAACTCCATCCCCAAATTTTCCGGAATTTTCTGGGTATCGTGAAAATTTTCTTGGAATTTTCCAGAAAATGTGCCCCTCAGAAAATCATTCCCAAAGCCGGAATTTTCTGGAAAATTCCGGCCTTGGGAACGATTTTCCGAGAAAATTTCAATTCCGGCTATCGGAGAGTTCCGGGTTTGAGGGATTCCGGCTAAAGGAGATATTACTGTATATTGAGATAAAAAGCCTGTAATATCAAGGGCCCATTAGATGTAAAAACCCCATCTCATGGATTATATGGAGAGAGAAGTCTGTTATTTGGAGGTTTCACTGTGTACCTCAGGATGTGTAATAAACAGGGACCTATAACTCAGATGATATTATGAACAACATACAATGATCCGACTTTATTCCTACTCATTATTAGCTTTCTGTTTACTGCTCAACTTACTCATTCTTAGCTTCCTGTTTACTGCTCAACCTACACTCCAATAATCAATTAAGGTTCTCAAGTACAAAAAATGACCCTGTAGTGACATTATCCTTGAAGTGTTTCTGATAATATTTATAGCAAAAGCAGTGGTCATAACTCTTATTATTAACCGTTATTCATTTCTTTAATTTTCGTTCTGGTTTTATAAAGTCTCTTTACGGTAGAACAGTTATCATGTTTATCTCAGAAGCTGTTGTCAGTACAGTACAGTAGCTCAGGAATCAAGGGAGTGCAAGTTGCACTGGTGGTCAATGTTGAAGTAATACTGTACACTTAACTCCTCATCTTAGTAAATATTTATAAAGTTTTCCTCGTGATGATGTAGAAATGAATAAAATTAATAAAACATATCATAATGAATGACTAAAATTTGTTTCATTGCTTAGATAACTTTGTTTTCTAAGCCAATATGGTAAAACTTTGGAGACTAACACCCTACTTTCTGTTTCTTAAGTACTGTACTGTCGTGAAGAAAAGTTAGCTCTTCGTGGTTATTAAACCGAGTCACGGGCATGAATCTCTGAAATGACTTACCCTGACTGTCATCTGGTACAGGTATAGCATGCCCTTAAAATTCGCAAGGGTTAGGTTCTCAAAATGTCGCGAATAGGCAAATCCTTGAATAACATTTGTTGACCAGGGGGGCGGGGTGCATTTTTACTATTGTGCAAAGAAATGTATACAGTATTCCCTTTATGTGTTTGCCCTTAGGACAATTATTTCTTTTACCTGTGTTGTATGTGTGTGTGTAGACAACACACACAAAACACATAAGAATAAATAATGGGAAAATCCTCTCACAAATAATCAGGAACAAGACAACAAAATGTATTAAAAATGTGAGTGTACCCTCAAGTCAACTCCATGCTTTGTTTAATACATTTTGTTGTTGTGTTCCTGATTATCTGGGAGAGTATTTTCCCATTTGTATGTGTTTTGTGTGTGTTGTCTACACACACACACACTAAAGAAATTACTGTCTCTAGAATGAATGGCTCTCTGTCCCAGCTGCAAAAATGCCAGCAACTTTAAAAATACCAACATTCTTGGGTACATCCATGGTGTCATCCGCAAAATAAAAATCTGTGAATTGTCAGAGCATGCTGTAGTATGTTGTTTTAACTCATTTGGGGTCAATACTGCTTTATTTTAGGAGGGAGAAAATTTCTGACCCAGACTGGTTTCACATCATCACCAACAATTAAGGCCATTTTCTACACTTGCCGAAGTTAGGAGAAACTCATGGTAGACTGAATCTCTTGAAAAAATAGAATATTAACTCCTTGTGTATAGGGTCACCTCAGAGCTGAATAAAATCGTCTGGTGTTAGCCAAATAACATATTAAAAGTGACGTCCCCATAGTGAAGGTGTTAAAAGGACAATCCTAGAGAAAATCTATACGGTGAGACCTTGATCTAACAGACTATATAGGAGTGTAGTTCATTATATAGAGGTTTGACATATGTGAAACCTCCATTAACAGATTATATAGGAGTGTACAGTCCATTATATGTGAAACCTCCATATAATGGGCTATACCCATTAAGATTGGTGTCCATTAAATGGAGGCTTTACTGTAATGAAAGTGGATATGGTAGAATTAAATTTACTAAGAACTTAAGTATGTCTTAAAGATTAATACTGTACTGTTCCAGAAAAATACTGACAGCAATCACAATAACTACACTACTGGACTCCCAAATGAGTTCTACTGTTATCAAATTATTATTATTATTTTTACCTTCATTCATCCTCTGGTAAGTGTTCTAAGCCCTGAGTCTATGGCACTGAGTCATTCTAGACAGGATCATGTTATACTATACACCAGAGGTTCCATCCTGTGGTCATGCAGGGGTGGTGGGGTCATTATTTCCTACCTCTGAGGCCATCCAACAAACTGTGGTACATAGTATGAAGGTTATTAGTATTTTTCATAAAGATTATTATTATTTTTCATCGTAAATACACAATACAGTACTGTACACTCGCCCCAACAATTATCTTTAGGGAAGGGTACGATGAATTTCAAAATGAACGCCCGGATCCTGTTGTCTCGGCAGGGTTGTAAAAAATCCATTCCATTGTCGTATTGTTTAACACAAAATCATAAAGATAATTTTGGACCATTTGTACAATTAAGGCTTCAGGGTGATGTATGATGCCTGTGCTTATATTTTCACTTCCTGAATTTACTTTGGGAGACAAATGACACAACACTTTACATTAAACACGATTTTAATATATACAAAGGTTCAACAGGCATGAACATACTTTTGTAACTCGTTCATACAAAACTTGGGAGATAGAATGTAAATTATAATTTTGTCTAAATAATAACCAATACAACAAAGTTATATGGAAATCAATTAATTTATAAAGTTTAATTATCAATAGCTAACAAATGTTTATTGTTTAATTTATTCAGCAATACCGAGAGGAATACTGAAAAACAAAAGTAAGACAAAAAAACAATTCAACCAATTCTTGACTGTGTGATAAAGCAAACCTGAAATTTTGAGGACGTCGTCATGCTGCTATTCTTGAATCTATGACTTATCACATAACGCGTTCATTCTGACTCTCCTTCAGACGTCTCCTCAAAAGAGATGGGTGAATCAGCCAGTTCTCCTTGGTCCTTCGTTTGAGTTGCCATGGCTGCCGACGCTAAAACTGCTGCTTTCCTGCTAGAGCGCACGGGTCGGGAGGAATTTGCGACTTTTGTTTCTTTACGAGGATTACGACTCTTGCTGGAAGCCGATCTATTTTTCTTATGCACGGTCTCTTCTATAATACACGTATCTTCCTCTGTTTCCTCGTTCCCTTGCGTTCGTTTACCTCGAGTGGTCTTTCTCGGGATGGGCTGCTTGTCCTCTTCCTTGTCAACTGATGATGCTCTGGTTACCATATTACTCTCAGCTTCGATAACACCTTCATTACCTTTCATTTCTTCGTCAGATATATTTTCACACGTTTCTGGGACGGCGTCTGTTCCGTGCTCTTCCTGTTTATTCTCAAGACTTGCGCTTCTGGTGGCTCTGGTTGCTCTCTGTGAAGTCACTGGCTCTGCCTTAAGTTTGTCCTCCAGGGTCTTTGATGTCTTTTTTCCTCTTACTGGTCTTCTTGTGGTGGATTGTTTCGCTCTTGTTGGCTGTTCTTTGGCCTCAGTAACTTTTTTGGCTCTGGTGGCTTTTCTTGAGTCAGAGATCTCCTTCCCTTGTTCTTGGATTTCTATTTCTTTATTAGCTTTGGTCATTGTTTCTAATGGTTCCATAGACTGACCATCTTCTTCCAGGGATTTATTTATCTCAGAGGGAAGATTTATTCTGACTTCCTCTTCCTGAACAATAGTCAATGCTTTCTTGCCTCTGGTTGATCTCTGTCCAGTGAGTTGCTTTACCTTCAACTCCTGCTCAACAGTTGAAGCTTTAGTGGCCCTGGAGGTTCTCCGTAAGGATGAATGCTTGACTTTGGTCTCCTCTATTTCTAAAGTAATTGATATTTCCTCAAACTGTTTGGTCTCCTCCACCTCGGATTCCTCTTTCACAAATTCTATGGTTTCTGCGGCAGAATCTTCACTGGATTGATCTTGTGTTACTTCCTCTTCAGAACCTTCATTCACTATTGTGGTTCTTGATGTTCTTTGTGACCCAACTTCTGTTTCTTCCTCTCCTCCTTCAGTTGTTACAGCATGTTCAGTCTCAACCAAATCACCAGGTGACTGTTGCAATTCTATATCTAACTGAGCACATAATTTTTCACTATTCCAGGTGTTTTGGCTTACACATTCAATCCCGTCGCTGCATTCATCCACGTCCCGTGAATGAGGACTCGGAGCTTGTAAATGTTTTTCATCTTCCAAGAGAGTAGTTCTTGAATCTGAGCTGTTTTCACTTGAACATTCCTCACTGGTGTTTGTACTTTCATGGGTTAGATGTAAAATAATATCGGTAACTTGTCCTATACCTGTGTTAATATTATCAGGAAACTGTGTATGTATTTCACTTTCATTTACCGCGTCTTGGCTTCTATCCTCCATATCCCCGAGTGCCCCATCCTGTATTGCACAAGGGTCAACAAATCCTTTATCACTCTCGAAAATTTCCTTAGGATCTTCTGATATGAGTTTACCAGATTCAATACCAACACATTCAGATGATACAATTGTCTCTTTAAACTCAGGCACTTTTATATCTTCCCCATCACCTTTATCATTGGTTTCATCACTCTCCATGTTGTGTGTGTGTTGAGTTGCACTTTCTACGCCGCCACGACTTCCCGGGGGATCATTGACGACAGTATCACAGGTAGACACTTTAAAATCACCTGAAGATATTTGCACTTCAAAATCAAGTCCCTCTTCTTTTTCTTCATTACAAGAGGGTAATTTTCGAGACTTTTCTTTTTTACTTACAAGATGTGAGCTTTGTCTCTTATTAACAATTTGAATAGGAAGCTCTCTATCTATCTTTTCCATAAGGATTGGCTTGATTTCTTTATTTTCATGTCTTGAAGTCGACGGAGTCCTTTTGGGAGTAGTAAACTTTTTGGAGGGAACACTCTTGGTAGATAAGAATTTAGATGTCGACTCTGTGCCAGGAGGTGGAGGCGTCGTCTCCCTTTTACCAGGGTCACCTTCACTGTCGCTGTCTTCACTCAGTTCCATACTTGCTTCACCAAGTTCACCAGGTGTGTATTCTAGTTCATTTATGATCATATTTTCTGTGCCTGGAGGAGGTGGTGTGCATTCTCTCTTTGTATGGCACAGGGAGCTCCAATTTGTAAAGTTAGTAGCATCTGGCACTACAGCACATCTGGATGGTTGGACAACGGGCCACTGAGGGAGTCCTATACCTACGGACAATGATGCAGCTGGGTCGGGCCTATCTGATTTAGATGGTGGGACTGGGAAATCCTCTAAACTATCACTACCTGAACTGCATAATCCTAAGTTGTGTTGTTGAATAAATGCTTGGGAAGGAACCCCAGTCTGATCTGAACTACCTGGTACTGAAATATTATCTGCAACAGTTGATGATAAAGGGAGGCAGGATATCTCTTGGACATGTTCATCCTCTGTTCCAGGCGGGAGCAGTATCTCGGCAGTCTTGTCACTCGCTGTGGGAATTAGTGACATTCCAAAACCTTCTTGACTGTTACTACCCATGCTCCAAGCCCCTGAACTAAGGTCTTGAAAACCTGGCTCAAAGACCGGTGCAACATTTATCAGGGGAATAACTACATCACTGTCACCTCCCAGATGGTAGTTAGGGGCTTCATATTCTGTTCCTGGTGGGGGTGGCAGGCCTTCTTGGACCTGAGAAGAGTCCTCTGTTCCAGGTGGTAGAGGTATCTCTAACTTCTTCAAACTTCCAGAGGTTGATTTTAGAAGACTTTCTTTGCTGTTGCTGATATTGCTCCACGCTCCAGAACTATGATCCTGTATGGATACCTCTGGCCCACATATTTCAGTCATTACAATAGCTGGTCCATCGTCACCTCCAGGAAGTAAAGATAAATTTGAGCTTTCTTGACAGTGCTGTTCATGTTCTGTTCCAGGTGGTAAGAGAATGTCTGATGCGGGGGCAGCTTCAGTAGCTCGCTTTAAACCAGGTAATGGGATACTCAGCAAATCTAAAGCATGCAGAGTAGCGGCAGCAGCACATTCTGAAGATTCCTCATTTCCAGTCTCCATAGAGTCAAACATTTTGAAACTGTCAGAGTCACTGCTGTCCTCAAAGTCCATTGGCATTGGTTCGTTGCTGGGCTCCTCAAAATAGATGGAAGGTTCCTCTGCTGGAGATAGATCCTTCACCTCATTCAGACAAGTACTAATATTTTCTGCAGTACTTTCATTATCGTTCACTGCAACTGGATTCTCTTGTGTTATGTTCATTTTAACGTCAGCTTCCTCCCTAATAATTTCCATGTTGTAAGCAATTGGGAATAATGAGTCTCCCACTTTCTTTGGATCTACTTGATTTTCAGTGTTGGTTGATGTTTTAGCCTCCCCTATATGTAACTCGTGTTGTGTTGGCGCCTGTTGCTTGGTACGTGTAGTGTTATGCTGTTCCTTGCCCCCATGTCCAGCTGGCCTTTTCTTCAAGAATGGCATTTTCCCTATTAGTGGCAGTTTTGGTACAGCAGATTTCTTTTCTTCTTCCTTGTCTTTCGAAGGTTCCTCCACACTCTTTGAAAGTGTTTCATTTTCATTCACATCGGCATCTTTCTTTTCCTTATCATTACTACAGGTACTGTGAATATGTTCATTTTTCTGTTGTTCGCCACCCTTTACATTTTTCTGGTGGTCGCCGCCCTTCACATTTTTCTGTTGGTCGCTGCCCCTCAAGCAGTCATCCCTTGACTTACTTTTTGTGTTGGAATCCTCTTGGGAAGGTGCCTGACGCTCCTCAGAATGTCGCTTGGAGTTGTCTTTGTGCTTTTGACGATTATCAGATTTCTTATCACTAGAATGTGAAGGACCTCTGGAGGCAACTCTGATGCTGCCACAACCCTTGGCCTTATCATCTTTAGCATCTGCCACTGACCTATCATCTCTACTGTCCTTCTCTCTATCTCTATCTCTTTTTTCCTTTATTTGTTTCATTAACTTTTCCTGTATGTCATGAGCGATGGTTTTCTCTTTCAGATTTAACTGCCCCTCGAGAAGCTTCCGTTCCTCATCAATGCTGTACTTGGCATAGGCGGCTGTTTTGGCCTTCAGGAAAGTTGACTCATACATGGGGTTCTTTGCCCGGTGAACCTGCAAACAGACACACAGACAGCATTAGGATTACTGGCAGGGGAAATGCTGTTGACGTGCATCTTATATAACTACACAATTCATATGTACAGTCCCCTTCACGAGTGCATTTACAGGAGCTGGTCGGGAAAGGAAACTTGCAAAACTAAACACACTATGGAATCAAAGTAAAACAATAGTAAAACAAATATCTCAATGTAATGATTTGTGGGAATGTTTACAGGATGAGCCCCTGTAAACACACTGGTGAAGGGGACTGTACTTGCTGTCACCCGAATACTAAAAGACGTTATACACTATATTAGTAACACAGAGTAAGGCTACGTATACTTAAGGATGTGTATATTCAAGACTATGTATATTCAAGGCTATGTATACTCAATGATATGCATACCTAAGGCTATGTATAGTATACATAGCCTTAGGTGTACTTAGCCTAAGGTATACATTGTATACCTTAGGCTAAGTATACCGAAGGCTATGCACTGTATACTTAAGGCTATCTGTACCTAAGGTTATGTATACTTATGGGGCTATGTATACTCAAGGCTATGTATATTTATCAGTTAACTATTCCCCCATTCTCATCCCATTGAGCAGAGTGAGGACATGGCAGCCCCAAGAGAGCAAAGTTCCCCCCCCCTCCCCCTCCCAAAATAAATAAATACAAATAACTCTTGATATTAACAAAGCCTAAGGAAGTGCAGTAAGGTCGGGATATATCGCGAGATTGGGTCCAAGGATGTTCGCTATATACTACATCGCAATATATAATTACATGTAATCGATGGTGAAAATAGGGTCAGGTTCTGGAGGCCAATAAAATAGACTAAACTTGACATAAAATGGCACAGTCTAAATTTAGCAGAATATAAATTGCATTGCTGGAATCCTTGCAAAACAGTGAATAATTTGAATACAGACATCATATATTTTGCACAAAAGATAAAATTTTTATGCCCATATTATTAAACAACATCTTCCCTTGAAGATGGTCGTCGTGTTTCAACCGGAGTTTTAAACTAAACGAGTCCTGAGGGACACCGCAGTACAGTACTTAACGGGGTGGTGTGGCGGTAAAATTAACTAATTCCAATATTATAAATTTATAATATTGGAATTAACAATACTGACGTTAGTCTTTTAGAGTACAGTGATCCCTCGGTTAACGAGCGCCTCGGTTAACGATTTACCTTCCATAAGATTCTTAACTTCGGTTAACGAGCAATCCCTCGATTAACGAGTTTTCTTACGAGCCGACTTCAACATGTTTTCGCTTGCATTTGGCGGTCCACCAGCTGTAGTATTAGTCCGCCAATACAGTACAATAATCGGTTTTAGGGCTTAAATTCCTTACTATTTTAGTAAATATCAAGAAGTTTATACTATTCAATAATTTTAAAAGTTTAATATTAACTTTTTTAGTCATTTTAACAATTATTGAACATAATTGAAGGTAAAGAAACTAGTTTCTGGCGTGCCATCCAGCCTGTTAACACACCAGACAGGCGTTAGTCTCTCTCTGTTTTCAGTGGAGGTAACATCTTGCTCGAGACTCTCTTCAACTAAACGCTTTTTTTCTGTGTTCCAAGCAAATTATTGGTCATTTTGAAATTCATTTTACATATTGACAATATATAATGCAGTGCAGTGTTGATATAAGAAAATAATCTTGAATTACACCAAGAGAACTAAAATTTTATGGGTGAAATGGTGCCATGGGGTGACTTCTCTTCCACCCCAATGCCTTCTCTTCTCCCTTCTCCTCCACCCCCATTCTAATTCCTATCATCATCATCCAGGAGCCTACTACATACACACCTCAAAGTAAGTGTACTTTTCTACCTTTTTTGTTGAATTTAGGCAATTTTCGGTGAGCTGGAACCAATTACCCAAAAACCCATTGAAACAATGGTTTCGGTTAACAAGTTTTTCGGTTAACGAGCAACCTGCTGGAACGGATTGTGCTCGTTAACCGAGGGACCACTGTACTGTACATTTAAGTACTGAACAGTTTTTCAACTCGTATTTTTGGGGAGATTTGGGGGATGTTTATAAGTGTTTCTGACTTTATACAGTTTTTGGCTTTATGGGAGGTCCCAGGAACATAACCCCACGTAAGTTGTGAGTCTACTGTAAATAAATTTATCGCTATATATTGGAAAATGTCGATAATTTTCGTAGTCGTGATAAATTTGAAATATTTCCTGCACGATTTCCCTCACGAAATAAAAAATTATTGCTATACAGTATATAGAAAAATGTCGATAATTTTGGTAGCTGCGATATAAAAAAATCGTTATAGTAAGTCGCTATATATATCCCGACCCTACTGAACAAGAATGATGTATTGAAATCACCCGTGTATGTTATGGACTTGGTGGATGACATCGGGTAATGTATGCCATAAAATTAAAAAATATTACAAATAAACAACCTACTTTGTAATTGGACACGTGGGTCTTGGACTCTGGGTGTCTCACTGTCTCTCCTTTGTCCCTCATGAATATATCACACAAGGAGCAGTAGTATGCTGGTAGTGAGTGAATAAACTCCAAACCTGAAATATACCATTCCTGTATTAATTCCGTAAATAAACTGGTTCACATATGATCTCATTACAGTATTATAAAGGAGTATTGACCATGTTACCTGGGTGACATGATCAGAGCCGGTGGGGATGCTGAAGCCTGCTCTGATGCAGGAGTCAAAAGTGGCTGGAGGAAGTTTAGGGAGTTGCTGCCTTTATTAACAGCAAGAGGACCTTCCCTCCACATGAAAGGAAGAATTTATGCGGCTGGCGTGAGAAGTGTGATGTTGTACGGCAGTGAAACATGGGCAGTTAAAGAGGATGACATACGTGGACTTGAGCGAGCTGAAAGACAGGAAGCCCTGTGTTCAGAGCTGGGTATTTAGAGTATTGGGTGAGTTCTGCATAAAAGTAAGATGCTGCGATGGTTTGGGCATGCGGACAGGTGTCAAGAGGTGCAAGAGCCTAATGTGGTGGGGAGGTGAGACAGGGGCAGACCAAGATTGACACAGGAATAGGCTGTAAGAAATGACATTAGAGTTAAAAACCTTACATGAGAGACTGCAAGAAACAGTGCAGCAGATCTACCATCAGATAATCACATCTATCCCAAAGAAAATGGCCATAAAACTATGATGATGATGACACTGTTTTACACACATCCCTTAAACTAAGCCGGTTTAAACAATGCAGCCCTCGCCCCTCCTCTTATTGCACTACGGGTTGCATGGGGAGCAAGGTAGGTTGTGTACGTGCATCTGACAACTTCCACGACTGGCCGCGAAGGGTCTCTACGACAGCGTGGGAGAGTTCCACACTTCCTCATATACAGTATTATACATCTACATATACCCTGGTTTATTCATTAATCAGTTGTGTATGTGTACGAGTAGCCAAACTGAGCCATCATGCATCACTCAAAAGGTAATGAATATCATTGTTAGGAAGGTATCTTCATATCAAATGAAGATTTACAGATACAGGGTAACTTTCTTTTCACATTTGCATTTGATAACATCGTTGGCAGCATTGTAGCCAAGTTAGACTTGCCACTGTAACCACAGGGCTACTAGGCCAAGCTTTAGGGTGTTATGGCAAAAAAATAATTGTCAGAAGGGCAAACACAAAGGGAATATACATTTCTTTGTACACGAGTTAGCTGACTCAGTGAGGGAGAGGGAGGAGGGCACCATTGCCAGCATCACTGCTGGTCTGCATTGTTATAGCAAAGCAGGGAGTGTATGCAAATGGCAATTGTGTAAAAACTTTCATTTGGCTTTTATTTACTGGTTTGGGAATACAGGCAGTCCCCGTTACGAACGAGTTCTGTTTCTGGGGACGTTTTTAAGTTGAAACACATGCTATGTGCATACCATACTTACAGAACAGTGTTTAAAATCCCACTATATCATAGCCCAAGTCCGGAATCACTCAAACCCGAAACTCTAGGAAAATCATTCCCAAAGCCAGAATTTTCCAGAAATTCCGGCTCTGGGAACAATTTTCCAAGGGGCACATTTTCTGAAAAATTATGAGAAAATTGTCATGGTATCCAAAAAAATTCAGGGATAGGGGGAGTTTTTTCCGGTTTGAGAGATGAAATAATGCATCATTCTGGAACTTCCCCCCAAAAATTTGTTACCCGGAAAATTCCAGGGATGAGGGATTTGTTTTTTCCGGCTCTGAGAGAGTCGTCTCGTTACCCAGAAATCTCTCATTCCGGAAGTGCTCTGCACCAATTGATCCGGCTAATGGAGATATCACTGTAGAATGACAAAATACAGAAATTGAAAGTAAAAAAATGAGTCATCAGGTAAATAAAATACCATAAATTTAACGTTTAACCTCATTTGTGTTGGCAGGCATTCATAAGTCGGACGTACATAGCCCAGGGATTGCCTGTACAGTAATTTTTTTGCAACTTATTTATTGGTATTACAGTACAGTATTTTTATTTATTCCTCACATTTACTGGTACTGTATACAGTGAACCCTCACTTTACGCGGTCAATTGAACCCACGGCGGACCGCGTAAAGTGAGAAACGCGTAAAGTGAACAACATAACATATGGGATTAATTGAAATAGAGACCGGGCCGACCCCCAAACTCCACTTTTTCAGACACAATACCTACATTGTAGTAAAAATAACTTCTTAATTTTATGATGGTATGCACACAATTAATAATTTAGAGAAATATCAATAATATTAGGTTTTTTAACACTTACATTAGTAGAAAAGATGGCTGGGCACACGGGGATGGGGGGGTTGGTTCCGAGGCAGAGGGCAGATTATTGGCCCTCACCTGTATCACTTGTATCACTATCCACCACAGAGGCTTGCAGGGCCTCTTTGTCAAACCCCTCAAAGTCCATATAAGTCCATATCCTCACTATCATTATCACTATTACTGACTTGGGCTGGCTGTGGTGGGTGGCGGGTGAAGAACTCAGTAATGTTTTGATGACTGGGCGACCTTGTGCGCACCCTGCTCGCGCCGCTCTCCGCGTAAAAGGGTACACACACCGCGGAAAGTGAGCATTCCGTGTTCGGCAGGGTACCGAGTAAAGCGAGGGTTGACTGTATAATATTTTAAGAAAACTACGGTTACCGGAGGAACACACACACAAAAGTTTTTTCCTAAATACTCCCTACTGAAATGGGGGATGCATCTTATATGCCATAAAAAATGATACTATACAATGTGTTAGTGACCCTGTTGTAAGCTAGTTTGCTGAAAGCTGATCATACAAGAATATAATACTGAATCAATAAATAAACCTGAGAAATGCAGCAGCCCCCATCAGGCCACCACCCTCAGCCTGCATACATGCGCAGTGTCTTAGCTTTTGTTAGGCCTACAGCAAATCTGATTAGACACTTTACAGTATTCAGTGAGCAAGTATTGTTCTTTTCATAAGATTTTGATGTATTTCCAACACCTGGAGTGGGGTTTTCTTTGTTTTTTAGCATGTTTGGCTTCCCGTAGGTGAACATCAGGGTTTTGGGTCTAGGCGGGGTTTTCATTAACATAACCCCTGCATTGTTTAAGGGATATGTGTAGTGTATGTACGTGGTAAATTTATTACTGCCTAACCTGAAAATGAATACTTTTGATCCTGTCTCAAAGACTTGTGGGTAAAACTGGGTCAGTATCTCAACTCTACAACTCATTATAACCCATTCTGACCAACACAGGGAGACCATAACCCATTCCAAGTTCCTTGTTGATACAGGGATTATGTAAATGAATTGGTTCCAGTACTCTGAGCAGACACCAAAAAGAGACATGAAACATAACAAAACAAACGATGGACCAGACGGCAGGAGTGAAGCTGAGGTAGTGAACACTTACCCTGCAAAGGTACAGTCAGAACTTGTGCATTGGCAGGCTTAACTTCTTTTTGTTCTCTGGGGGCTTTGGCCAGCCAGGACTTGCGGTCATTCTGAAACCATAAAGATGTATGAGCAGGGTGTGGTATAAAAAAAAAAAAAAATAAGTAAATAAATAAATACTGTACAGGTATATACATTTTTCCTTTTAATAAAAACAATTTCTAAGGACTATGCTACTGCCCTTTAAAGATTGGGACACACTGTTATATTTTTTTACAGTAGGTCCACAATCCCTTATCCGCAATTCCAAAAGCTCTGAAAACCTAAAGTTTTTTCGTGGAGCATCACCCGTGTGTACAACAAACCCAGACTGATGCTGAACATGACCCACGCAGGTGTGAGGCGTCAGTGTGTCTCAGCGCTGCTACCAGTCACATGTGTGTCTGCTGCTCTCTGATATTTTTTATGATTTTGAGTTTAATTTCACTGTGAAAATGTTAAAAATAGCTTCAGATACTCCTGTGGGTAACAGTGAGAAAAAGAAAAGGAAGCATCTCTCATTATCGATAGCACAGAAAGTGGAGGTATTACAGAAGCTTGATCGTGGTGTGCCTGTGCAGCCTTACTAAAGAATATGGTGTGGGAACCACCACCGTATATGACTTAAAGAAACAGAAGACAAGTTGTTGTAGTTTTACACTGACAGTGATGACCATAAACTAATGAAAAATATGAAAACATTGCATAGGGCAAAAAATCAAGATCTTGACCGTGTGCTGATTGAGTGGATTCGACAACAAAGAAGTGTACAATACAGTTACAGGTTTGCCCTTAGGACAATTATTTCTTTTACTTTTTCACAATATGAATTTAGGATGGTGTGTGCATGTAAATGAGTAGAAATAAATGAAGAAAGTTACGTATATCTACCCAAAAATATGAGTTGAAAAACTTGTACAGTACTTAAATGTACTACACTAAAGGAAATTTTTTTTTATCTCTTGCACAAAATATATGATGTCTATACGTATTCAAATTATTCGCCGTCTTGCAAGAATTCCAGCAATGCAAGTTATATTCTGCTAAGTTTAGTCTGTGACATTTTATAAGATAAAGACTTTAAGCCTAAAACTACCTTCACCCTGTTTTGAGAATGCTTCTTAGTCCAGAACCCCCAAATTGCAGAAATATTAATGTGGTTCTGAAACCGTAAAATTCCGAATTCCGAAACACACCTGGCCCCAAAGATTTCGAATAAGGGATTGTGGACCGTACTATATAAAAAAAACAGCTTTGCAAAGAAACTGGTTAGGGTAAGCAAATGTTGTGAGGCTTCTTCCCCTTCCTTATTCTTGGCACTGCTACAATTACTCAACTAGAATAACTAAAAATTACCCAAATAAAATTAAAATCTAGCTAAATATGATTTTTTTTTTAGCTAGCCAACAGGTGAATGGCTATAAAAGTATAGAATGAGCCGTAAATGATGGTAAAATAGTACATAAGAATGAGATAAGTGGAATTATATATACAGTAGAAGGAAGACTGGCGCAGAAGGAAAATATGATAAAGGTGTAGGAAAGGAATGAGCCAAGCATGAATACTAAAATCTGTGAAGAAAACAATAAAAAAATATAAAGGACTAAATGAAAAAGGCATGAGAGAGAAATGAACAAAGAATGAATACTAAAAAACTGATAAAAACAATATAAAGAAAATATAAAGATAAGAAATGAGGACTGAGACTAACCTTAACTCTTGCCATGTGAGAGAGTGTCATCAGGTGGCTCACATACTCCGGCACAGTTTCACAAAAGAGACTGCACAGTTTACACCAATGCATCCCTTGGTCCATGTACCGAATGAAGGTCCTCTGAGTGGTAAGTGGGGCATACTGCAGTGTTTCATCCACCTCTTCCTTAATTGTCTCCTGGTGACCTTTACCCCGAAGGCTCACTTGCTTTTTAGCCGTTTCGGTGCTGCTGTTTACTCGACGCTTTTTTGGAGGAGACAAACTTCTCTGTGATTCGGGACTTGAGAAATGTTTTTTACTTTCTTTTGGTAAACCTGGAGCTGGTGACCTAGATGTGTTATGTTTTGATAGTTTAGCAGCGTGTTCTGTTGATCTGGATGACTCGCCAGATTTATGTTTTGAAGGCGGAGGAGACCAACTCTCCTTCCTCTGAGGAGATCTTGTTCTCTTTGTCTTCATCAACGGTGACATATTTAACTCAGTCTTTTCAGGAGAATGGTAATATGATGTTTTTCTCTGCTTTTCTCTCTCTGATGAATACCCCGACTTCCTCTGTCTTTCTCTTGAATGGTAAGGGCTTTTAGATCTCTCTCTGGACACAGATGCACTCTGCTTAATATCTCCACCTTCACCTTTAATTTCCTGGTCAACTTTGTGAGCCATGTTATTTATTTTGAGAATCTGCTTCCCTATTTCAGTCATGAGTAACGAGTTCTCTTCTAAAAGACTGAAGAGACTGTCTCTGCTTCCCTTATGGTTCTTGATGATATCTTCACGTTGTTCGTTCATCATATTCTTCTGTTCCATCAGCATCTTGACTCGTTTCATTAAAGATTCCCTTTTTGTTAACAGTGCCTCAACCTCACACTTTTCCTTTTCAGGTTCTGGCGATGACTTTTTTTCAGGTTCTCTTTTATCGTGATTACTCGCTTCAGATTCAGACTCAGAATCCGAAGACTCTTTTTTGCGTTTGGATTTCTTCTCTTTGTGTCGTTTATGCTTAGATCTCTTGGGGCTCTCGGATGACTTTCTGGCCTTACGTTCACCAGACACTTTTTTTGAGGACCTTCCCCCTCCTTCGGGAGATGGAAATGACTGCCTAACCCTTGAATACTCTCTCATAAGATCAGCAGATTGAACTGAAGATGTACTCAGAGCACCCACCCCATAAGCACCCACTGCAGCCGATGATGATGTTGAAATGTTCGTCATGACTCCGTGACTTATTGTGGAGGGAACGCTAGTGGATATAGACTGTCCACTCGGGAAAAGCATGGTCTTTGACTGGGAGGCATTTTCCATACTTTGTTCCAGTATTCTTTCATTTGTTAAGTGATTGTTTTCATAGGGGATGCCAGGCTCTGGCTGGGAGAAGGCGGTCACCGATGACATCACGCCTCTTGATCCAGTCTTTGTTTCTCTTCCTGACACCGAGTCTTCCTGCTTGGCTTCATTCTTGTCCTTCCTGTGGGTACATTAAAAGGAATTAAAATCTTGCAAAAAGGATCACGAAGTCGGAACAAGTGGAACATCGAAGCTAATTCCATCATCTGCTTGTGTGTGGCTGTACAGTGTATCTCTCTTAAGTAGCCATTATCCTTACTCTAAGAATATCAATTAATCAGTTTAGGAACCAATAAACTTAGTCAACACACATCCACTTACACCTAACCTTACACTCTCATGGTCTCAGCTTGGAGAAATATTACCCATTAATCCCTTCTTGTCCTCTCTCATAAGCAAAGAATCTATCATCTCTGTCGACCAGTCCCTTACAACTGAGGCGAGGAAAACTTGAAGGATCTCCAGTTTCAAACAGGAATTATACCACCAAATCACATACAGTACAGTATATAAGACCTTTAGCATGTTACTTACAAGACAAAGGAGATATGAAGTAACTGTACTACTATATTCAGAAGTATGGATCTAATTACTTAAGTTAAATCATTATACATTTCACAATTATGAAGTCCTGCACAACCTTCTCTTATATAATGTTAAGATATTACATTATTTTACCATTTCGCATTCATTCAAAACTTTGCAGATTATTCGACTACAGCTCTTACCTCCCAACATAGGGCGTCTCAATCTCCCAGTCACTTGCTTTGTGGTGGTAAGATATTTTCAGCTTGGACTCTTGTAACTGGCGACGATCAAGTGCTGGGGTCCACAGAGACGAGCTGTTGGACTTGCTCCCACTAGCGGCAGCCTTTGGTGGAGCCATCGGGGCTTGGTTCTGCTTCCCTTCTATGGGTCTGGAGAGATTTTCCAGGGACGTTTTCAGTTCCCAGTCAGTGTGATAGTCTATGTCAACAGCACGCAGGGGTTGTTTGGGTTTTGGCAAAGGTTTAGGTTTAGGCGGACAAGGGTTACTGCCAACTTGGAGCTCTTTCTGTCTTTTGCTACTTTTAAGGCTCTCCTCGCAGTCACTCTCTATTGAATCATCTACAGTTCGAGCTATTGATTTGGTAAATATATCATCTACTTCCTCTCCTACTTCTTCTAGGTCCAGCCCTAACTGGTCTACTTCTGCACTCTCATTTGGAGATTGCAGCCTTTGTGAAATTGGGGGTTTGGGAGAAATATCTTTAGATTTATCTGAAGTTGATTTCAAAATTTCCTTCATTAACTTTTGTGTATGGGGATTCATAAAGTTCCTCGTGATGCGAGCCTGAAGCTCAGAAATAACCAATTTATCTACTGAATGTTTCTCTGCTTCTGCTGATGATCCTAATGTTTCTTCTTCTAAATCTGCATAAATATCTTCAAAGTCCAGTTGCTGTACATTGCCTGCACTTTCATCTTGGGATGAACTGCGATTTTTACTTTGATGGTGCGGTGGGCTTTGAGAGTGGGATGGACTCCAGTTTTTAACCGGAAATTGTGAAGGGCTACTGCTCCTACTTCGAAGTTGACTTCTACTGTGACTTCTACTGTACTCATTACTTATGCTACAACTTCTACTACCAGCATCAGCAGTGCTAAAACTTTTACTACTGAACTGAGTTATACTACGACTTCTGCTTCGACGGTGACTTTGGCTACACCCCGCTTGAGGTCTAGTTTGACTATTGCTTCTACTTCGAAGACGACTGGGGCTGATACTTTTCTCGTGGTGAGGTGGGGTGATTTTACTTCGATACGGGGCTGGACTGCGACTTCTACTCTGAAGTCTTCCTATACTAAAGCTTCGACTCCGAAGTCTACCTATGCTACGGCTTCTACTACGAGATCTATCTAAAACTCGACTTCTACTTCGTGATTTAACCGGGCTACAACTTCTACTCCGAAATCTTGCCGGACTGGAACTTCTACTTTGGCGCCAAGAGGTGCTTCTGTGATATCGAGAGGGGCTGAGACTCCTGCTACGACAGTGAGGGGAGCTGTAACTTTTAACTGGGTGGTAAGGGGGACTACGACTTCTACTCCGATGACGAGGGGGAGTGCGGCTACGATGGAATGTCTTTTGATGGCGAAGTGGACTAATACTTCGACTGCGACTTCTCCGATATCTGTCCCGGTGCCCCTGTCTTGGGTGATTCTGAGGAGATCATTAACATTATAATCCATAGAATTCCTTTTAAATGAACACTTGAAACACATTTATGATATATTATATAAAAAAAGTGAAAAACCTGAATAAATCCTAATAAGTACCTTGTACCTGTATGTTAATTCAATAAACAAATATATGAGCTACTCAGCTGTCTCGTCAACTCGCGCTACCAACCTGAAACTGTTTCCCACGGTACTCCCTCTGAGGAGGTCCACGCCTCATCTGGCTTAAGTGAAAGCGGGTGCAGTTTTCCCTCCGGCATCGTCTATCGTCCGGACACACGTACCCATGTACAAAATTGCACTGAAACTCGCCCTTGAAACACTTGCCTTCCTTCCAGTACCGACAAGTTTCTGGAATCTTGTTTCTGAATTTCTGTCGGAGAAAGAAAAACAAAAACTTAATTATGGTGTTTTAAAATATCACTAAATTCTTTATTTTATATTAGTATGGCCTTCATATATGGTTGACTAATGTGAGGAGTTATGTTACTGTTTACTGTGCTGGCCAAGCTAACATAAACTGAGGTATGAGTCTTTATGTAACTCCATACCCTTCAAGGAATTCAGTACAGTTGATTGATTTATCGAATTTTCAAAGTTATATTACATTTTTTGATACAAGTCATAAGTTTTGGGTCATGGGAAACTTACAGCCACATAGACTTGCTACCCATCCATAGGTCACCCAAATCTAACACTTGGTTAAGAAAAATATTCTTGGTGTGTTTTAAAGCCTGGATGTAAAGTTTCATGACCTCAAAAACTGGGAGTAAATTGTACATTCTGGCTACTAATTCTTATATGCAACCTAAAATCAGATACAGCACACATTTACATGATATTTTTCAAAACACAACAAAAACTTTACAGTACTTACACTCATTTTGTTGCTGAGGATGTAACACAAAACTGCAAATTAAATGAAGATGTTGTTCCCATCACTTTTCTGAAGAAAAAAAAAATTACGTGAAATGTCAAACTAGCAGATAGAGAGAAAATAATAATAAAACATAAGTACAGTACTACTTGTACAATATAACTGCCTAATAGTACATAACAATAACAACTTGTTGACAACAGCGAATGAATTAAATGACTCACTGCAGGTACAAGGTGTAGAAGTATTAAGATATTCAGGGTGTGGAGTAGAGTACAGTACTCATTTACTATCAAAATATCTTAAATGCATGAAACAGGAAACAATGGTGTTGGTATTACCAAAATCAGGTAATATACGAGACGTGGCCATCTGCAGTTCCCTAATTAAGGGGGTGATTTTAGACAGTTTTGTACTCTGATTACTTTCAGTTCTATTCATTTTCTTTTGTAATTACTGTACTTGGTTTTCCAGATGTAGGCAAGTTAAGATATAGGTTAGGTTTAGTTAGGTTAGCACAGGATTTCAGCCATTTTTATATTTTTCCACAACATAATACAGTACAGTACTATCTCCTAATAAAATATGTAAAAACTGGGTATTTTTAAACCCATTTTCAGAGAAAAACAGCAGACGGTCACATCTCAAATCATTAACCCAAAATGAAGTACAGTAATGAAATATACAGAACCTTAGCATAATCATGTTTACTGTAAAATGTGTTAAATACAGGTGGCAAGAAGTGGTGGTGTTAGTAGAAATATAACATCTGCCAGATCTAAGGTCTGGATCCAGGCCTGTATAGGTTAACCTTGGCTTAGGCTATTGTAATAAAAGTACAGTACCGTACTGTAGGCCTAGATATCAAAAAACTAAAAATACAGTAATGTGCTGTACCTGAAAATCTACATGCAATCAGTTCCAAGGTTTTGAGATAAAGAATCCTCAACAAGTAACTACAGTACCTATATACCAGGTGTGAAAATTATTTACAAACCATTTGAATGGTCATATCAAAGTGGGTCTGTCTTCAGAACACCCAAAACACGAGATCAAGGCACCTGAACCTCTGGGATGTGGATAAATTAACAAAAACTAACGTGTTTAAATGGTAAAGTTAGTTCCATATTCCTAAGAAAATTTGTATACAGGTTACAGTAATATGAAGTTTACTTGATAACAGTGGAAAACAGCTGTGACTGAACCAGCAACTTGAGGAAATTCCTCTAAAGGAGATAAATGTTTTCCTACTCATGAGAACACCAAACAATGGACGAGGAAAACATTTTTCACATTATAACAAATCTGTCCTAAGCACTAATCATCAGCATCGCCATTTTTTCTGGAATGTTTCATTAATTCTTTTCATAGACAGGATTTTTTTTGATAGATGACAATTATTTTAGGTTAGGCTAGATTAGGTTTGGTTGGTTCATATTACAGTTCTTCCCCGACTTACGACCTGCATCAGTCGTACCAAAATTTGGTCAAATTACGTATTTTCGAGTCCCAGTCATTACAGACAAAATTTTTGTTAGTAATTCACTTTAAAATGGCTGGCAAGCTTAAAAGTGAGAGTTTTGTGGTGCTGAGAAGAAAAAGAGACACCCATTTTAGATTTTCTATGTATTATTTAAGCATTTCTGACTTACGACCATTTTGACTTACGACCTGGATTTGGGTCCCTAATCCTGTCGTAAGTCGGGGAGGAGCTGTATTAAGTAATATTCCTGGTCCTTGACAAACAATTCCACCAGTTACTCCTGGGAACTGCTGGTCTAAACCAACACCACCCTAATATGATGTAGAAAAGAAAAGTAATATCGCCATAAGCCGGAATCCATCAAGCTCGGAACTCTCTGATAGCCGGAATTAAAAATTTTTCGGAAAATCGTTCCCAAAGCTGGAATTTTCCGTAAAATTCCAGCTTTAGGAACGATTTTCCGAGGGGCATATTTTCCTGAAAATTCTGAGAAAATTTTCCCAATATTCGTAAAATTCCGGGGATGGGGGAGTTTTTCTGGGTTTGAGAGATGAAAATCAGGTGCATTTTCTGGAAATTTCCGCGAACATTTTTCCGTTACCCGGAATATTACGGGGATGAGGGATTTTTTCCAGCTTTGAGAGTCATCTCGTCAACCGGAAACCTCTCATTCCCGGAACTGCTCTGCACCAATTGTTCCGGCTAACGGAGATATCACTGTACACAATATTAACATTCTAAATTACTATACCTTACCTATCCTAGACCTTACCTAAGCTTACCTATCCTAAACCTTACCTCACCTACACCTAACCTTACCTATCCTAAATCTTACCTCACCTAAACCTAACCTTACCTATTCTAAACCTTACCTTACCTCACCTACACCTAACCTTACCTATCCTAATCTAAAATAACACCACTTTAAAGACATTTCACCATACAGCTCCTCCCCGACTTACGACGGGGTTAGGGACCCAAATCCAGGTCGTAAGTCGAAATGGTCGTAAGTCAAAAATGCTTAAATAATACACAGAAATCTAAAATGGGTGTCTCCTTTTCTTCTCAGCACCACAAAACTCTCACTTTTAAGCTTGCCAGCCATTTTAAAGTGAATTACAAACGAAAATTTTGTCTGTGTACTGACGTTGGGACTCGAAAATACTGTACGTAACTTGACAAAATTTTGGTACGACTGAGGCAGGTCGTAAATGCGGGTGGTCGTAAGTCGGGGAGGAGCTGTATAGGTACGATATAGGTATGTTTCCCGTAACATAATCTTTACAACTCTTTTCCTTCCGAACAATCATCTACGGCTACGATGCCAAGACTTATTTTGTTTATGTCTGGTGCATCTCGGTAGCCAAGGTCCGGGAATATTAATTGATGGAAAGGAACAATATAACCTACAAAACTTACAATACCGAGCCTAACCTAAAACAATACGGTCATCGGTAATACGTCACTCACAGCAAGGACCCACTTTAGGGAAATTCTCTATACAGTACGATAAAACCTGTTTCTTATCTCATATAAACAATGTAATGAGTGGAGGAACAGTAACTTTCCTTCTTCTAGTTTTCCCTTGTTTTATAAAAGTGATTACAGTACAGTGTGTGTGTCGCTTTGATCACCCCGTTCATCATCCTACTTTGACAAAATTTTAGTTTCGGTCATCCCTGTATTGTAAACAACCTAACCTGGCCACAAAACCCAGGAACTATATCTAACCTAATTTTTGGCGGGGGGAGGGTAAATTTCTAAGATTTTCCGGATGACCAAAACTAAAATAAACCCTCTACTTCAGTTGACTATAAAAAAATAAATAAAATGAAAATCACAGTAATCATCCTGCTTAACATACCCTAAAATTTATAACAAAATAAAACCTTTTAATCCTAGTAAGTTTGATACGGTAGCTCTGGTTGGCTTGTCTTATCTACAATAAATCATTTATGTAGTTCACCGCGGGAGATAATTTTAAGCTGTTTAGGCATCACGCACCCCTATGGCAAAATCACCAAATCTATTATTAATATTCTAATTATTATATAAATACTAAAAAGCTACTACCGGTTTTTTGTATTTATTTAATGGATGCGTAAATGTCTGCAACATTTGTCTTTTCATGTGCACACAAAAAATTAATGGCAATTTGGCGATAAAAACATTGGAAAACCAAAAATAAAAAAATTAGTCCCTCCAACCATTTATTTTTATTCAAGAGATATGGAACAAGTTTTCTTCTACACAAAATTTCCCTGATGTGGTTCCTCCTCATGAGTCTGTTATCTACAGGTATTATCATCTTAGAAAGAGAAAATCCTGACCATGAAATGAACCGTCCACCCTTCACAGACGTAGAAAACAAGTCAAAGTCTGGATGGAGCGGCCGTATATTTGTTCAGGTGAGAAAAAATCATATAAGTGTTACAGTATTACCTAGAAACATTCCTCATGCACTTTTTTTGCCTTTTCATGAGGAAAGAAAGAATTTACCTTCTTAGCAAAATATCCTCAAGCTGCATAAGTAAGTAAACCTGAACAAACATAGAAGTAATACTTGACTAGAGTGGTCTAGCCTTGGAAGGACATAACAAAATTTCTGTAGAGGAGATATAAGCTTTCTTATCTCAAAAAAAATATACTAAATATGCAATAAGAATGTGTTTTGCGTCATTACACTGTTGTGATATTTTACATTACTTCTGTCTGTGGAGATGCCACCTTCAAACGCCATGTTTACTTTCCCATTGCTACAATCTCTCTTAATTTATCTGTAAACTGAAGAAAATTAAGCTACCAGACCTAATATAACTGAAAACACTAGATACCAAATTTCCGGTCAAATTTCACTTATGCACCCGTCTTTGTTTGGATATTAAAAATGTGTTTTTCCAATGTTATTTGACGAGTTTTTAATGAACTTGATATTCATTTCAGCCGGAAATCAATAGTTTTTGAGATAACCCCCTCCCCCATCAATCTTAACGAAATAAATTTTTTCCGAGTAAATTACCCCTTTTCTGATGAAACTCTCAATTGACGTAAAATAATCTCTTACACAATGCTGGCACAGCTCTTTCCACCTGTTCAGCCATATCTGGTTATTCTGGTACAGTACTGAAAAATCAAATCTCCGCTCCCGACGCACCCACACATTGTTCATTGGCTAACACAAAAAACTCTTGCCGAATTACAAGTCTCCTATCCCTATAGCCCAGGGGTGGGCAATTATTTTTGATGGAGGGCCACTTCATGAATGGTGGCACACTTCGCGGGCCACAGGTTAACAGCGACGAGCCAGTATTGCTGCTATGTCCACCCAACTTCCAAAATTGTCCTTTCTGTAATTAATAAGAATTTTTTTTTTCTGATTGCCAAATGCAGTGGCGGGCCACATAAATAATTTGGCGGGCCAAATGTGGCCCGCGGGCCGCACTTTGCCCACCCCTGCTATAGCCAATAAGAAACTCTTTTAAATATATATGAAATTCCTTTCAGCTAAAAAAAAAAAGGGTGTTTGCACTCGAACCTCATCATCAGGGTATTGGGTGTAGATAGCGAAACTGTTATCTGCACCTGAGGTGTGTCATAGTGAAATTTGGGTGCAAATTACAGTACCTATTTATACTCGATATTACCATCTCATATCCAACAAAACAAAATGAAAAAGAAGTGTTTTAACTATTCAAATTAGAGTAAAAAACACCAATGAAGTTATTTGTGATGATTTTCTGTACTATTCCTAAATAAAGTTTACAATGGAATTGTGAAAATTTAAATTATTTCATACATTATCTACTTTATCATCATATACTTTGATATCTGGTACAGAATCAATCCTAACCTAACATAACTCCTAAGCCAACTCCTCCGGACCCTCCGCCATATTAAGCAGAAAAAACTTACGGTACTTTGCTATCTGGTACCTAACCTACCTAACTTTACCCACTGGTTTGTTTAACAGAGAGTGAAACTATTACCTTCAACCAAGTTTTGTCAGGGCAAAATTCTTATAGTATTCGATAATAGTGTAAATATCTCGGGATCAAATAATGGTCTAACTATTTGCACTCAACTCTTGTCACCAAAAGGATCGGTTTCTCAATACAAAAATTGGCTGCAGATACTGAAATCGTTATTTGTACTATCAGGTGCAAATACCCACTAAAAAAGAAAAACAAAAAACACTCCTACGGGGTAGTCTTAATACGGCGCTGGTGGTAAGGTCGTGTTCGGCCGTCTTCCTCCACCCATTTCACACGTCAAAATCGTTATCTCACAGAACCTATTCCTCCTGCATTATTTTTCAGTATCTCGAGGTAAGGAAGCTTTGGTAAAATTTTAGTTTCGTACAACCATGGAATCTGGGATTTTTAACACATGTAATAGATATATCTCATCATTCTGACTAACTCACTCTGACCTAATCAACAAAAGAAACCTACCTAACCTAACTTTGGTGAATTTTTCTTTGTGCACCAGTCTTTCTCTCACTGTTATTAATACAGTATGTATTTCATAATTTTTAGACATTTCTAAGACATTTTTCTTCTATGATATTTCAGCCGGAAATTAAGGAAAACCGAGAGATTAATTTTTCCATATTATTAAATTCGCTCAGTCACAAGTGTCGCCATGTCTTCGTCTCTGTGAGGAGATGTTATCTCCGCATCACGCATGCGCAATATTGACTGACGTCATCCTGTCGTGACCAATGATGTATCGATATCATCTCGCGAATTTTTTTCAAGCGATCACATTTGATTTTTTCAAAGGAAGCAGCCTGGGTAATTTCATTGACCAGACTCATAATGGCCGTGGTGGAGGTTGGTTGTCATTTGTGCTCCTACGATTTATTTAAGTTTATTGCCAAGTTTTACGAGAAAGACGATCATTCTATCCAATTCTTATGTATCCCTGGTCCTTCCGCTTCTAACTAAGGTATTGTACTTTCGGACATGGTGCTCCCCAATGACTTTAACTACGGAGACATTTAGGTAAGTTAAAGCTAGGCCTACTGGGGGTAAGGGGCTCTAGGGGTTGGGTTAGGTTAAGTTAGGTTAGACAATCTATTTTCGTTTTCTCCCCCACCCAAAAATCCCGATTTCCCTTGCTCTCCCCCCATTGTTATTGTTGTTGTTGGGGGAGAGGGGGTCTAAAAAAAAACTAGTGATTTCCAGCAGAAATGAATATCAAATTCGTTCGAAACTCATCAAATATCACCGGAAAAACATTCATTAATATCCAAACAAAGACCCGTGCATAAGTAAAAATTTAACTAACCTCCTAGATGGAGGGCTAACCCTTTGCCATATTAAAGAAAAAGTAATTATTTTGATATGTGGTACCAATGAAAGCAACTTTGTTGAAGTGTCATGGTGTAAATTTACATTCTTTGTGGACGTGAGACTACGCTCGAAGAGAGTGGGTCAGCTGTAAACAAAGTGAACAGGTGCTCCCATATATGATAATAAAACACATCTAATATCTCCGTTATTTGACATCTACGAGGCAAGTGTCATAGAGGAAAACTCATAGAATTATTTGATGTAAATATAGCAAATGCCAAAATCCCTGAATGAGATAGCTGCACATAACTAAAATAATACAGAAGCTTTTATCTCCAATGGAATAAATATGAGAATTTTTCGTTATCCATCCATCACCTTTTTTTCACATGAAAAATTTATGTTTTAGCGAGTTTTCTTGCTGTTTTAGATGCTTCTGACATTACCTTTGGGGCAAATAATTTTTTTTAGTTAAGTTAGAATAGGTTACTTGACCTAACAGGCCATATCCTAACCTAACAAACTAACTATAAAAAAAAACTGATTTGCCCCAGAGATAAATGTGAGAATCATCTAAAACAGCAAGAAGACTAGCAAAAATATATATTTTTCATGAGATGAGTGGTTAACAAAACGAGAGCGACGCTGCATGTCACCATAACATCAAATTGCGACTTAAAAAAATTGCGATTCTTACAACTTATAAATCGTGAATATCGCGTTTAATTTTGGAATGCTCCACTAAATTCAATTATATTCTTTCGTTTCTCGGTGAAATCTACTAAATGGTAAGAAAGGTGATTAGTTGATAATGAAATAACCATAAATATTCCATCAGTTTGTTGTCAGGGAAGGATAACTCGTCAAGTAGTATAAGTAAACCGAAGTAGCTAAGATATTCAGTAGAAACATCCTAAATAAGTAAATGTAAGTAAGCAAACTTGAGCAAGAACACAAGTAAACCTAAATAAGTAAAATCAAGATATAGAGACACATCCTATGAATGTAAATGTAAGTAATAAAACATAATTAAGAACCAAAATAAACCTAAATAAGTAAAGCAAAAATATAATACATAATACAGTGTAAAAACATCTTTGGCTCAGTGACCAATGAGACCCATAATAGAACTTACATGTCTCAGTTTTCTTACACCATTTAACGCTATCACATTCATTTATATTACTTAACACCCTCTTAACTTTCACTTAAATTAAACTTATTATCCATATCTCACTGTCAATCACATAATTCATAAGTATTTTTAACACTAGAGAAAATTATTGCCTTGAGTACAATGCTGTGGTCGTGACGTGAGGAGGTATTTTTTTTTAATTTGGGGGATATTCTTCTATTTCCATTAATATAATTGGTTACTTCACTCGATTAATGTCATAGGTGTTTGGTTCCACAGGTATGGGTAATCGTTAACTAGGGTAATGGTATTTTAAGACTGAGAAAGACACCATAATACGATAACAAGTCTTAAGAACAACAAACCGTACACGAAGACGAAGTCGATCGTACCAAGCACTTGTCTCAATCCTATAGATGTGTTATATATATTTATTTTATTCCCCTTTATCTTATAAGTTATTTATATATTATAGAATTAGTATCTTATATTTTATTTATTTATATTATTCACATATTGTATATCTATGAATTGCATATGTTTAGATATTTATTTTAAAGTTTTGGGAAAATTTTACTTGAGTCAGGGAATCGAACACAACACTGCTAATAACAAACACGAGTAAATATTCAGAGCCAAATTCACTCAACTCTTTAATATTATATAATTTCCTTTACACAAAAATATACACATAAACATAGACCATAAATTATCAAATACTCATCATAAACTAAGTTAAATTTCTATATATCAAATGTTGCCAAGTGTCCCGCCATATTTAAACAACTTGTTTGATTGTTAAGACAACTTGTTTAGTAATCGGTATCTTGATGTATTGTATCACATAGATGACTCTTTCTATTATACTGTGAGTCCCAGGTGTGAGTAACATAGTTTGACCTGATATACTCTACATTACATTACTTTATTCTCTTCGCCAATAATCGGCCTGTTAGCCACTTGGTGCTGTTGGTTACGTCTCTGCTACCTACTGAGTAGTTAGTGCCACCTTCACTTTCTGATGCATGGAACATGTCTGGGTGTGTATGTCTATATAAACTCATTTTTGTACTCATCTGTAAGGAAAGAAGGACGCGAGTAATTGGAAGGAAAAATCGTTGGCGAGTTTCTTCACAAAAGGTTGTAAAGGCGAGGAACCAATGCGTGAAGGGTAATGCGTGGTGCGTATTCACTGCTCCCATAAGTCCGTCAAAATAATGTGATGCGTGAAAGTTTTAATCTAGTGTGGAACTCTGTGTGCAGTATGTTAGTACGTACAATACAGAGGGAACCACTTAACGAAGTGCTTGGGAACATAAACTGAGTTCTTTATGAAAGGGATTTATTTTAAGAGCTATTTATAGAGAGATTGCAATGTATTTTGTTTTGTGATTACTCGTTATGCTATATGCACAAAACAGTTATTATTAAGCCAGTCAACTCTGTAGTCCCAGTAAATTAACAAGAATATATTTGGTTATAGTTCATGAGTCACAGGGTTACCCAGCTCTTCACTGTAGTCTCTTGTTGCAGCACTCCTGTCATGCACTAACGTCAATCTAGTATATGTATATGGTGTCATGTTGCACTCACTAATTATCATTAAATATAATTATCAAGCTAGTAAAGAAAAAGAGGGTAATCACGTATTTTACAAATTTACAAGGAATTACCTACTTACCAAATGCCACCAATGAGAAGTTTCACAATAATTTCCACAAAGGGTCAGGCGTAATATGTGTTCGTGGGTCTGAAGCAACTCTTGTTTTAGTGTCTCTGCTGATCTGTGGTACCGCAGCCATGATGTGACATACGGCTCAGGATTCCACTGAACCAGAGGAGGTCCGTGTAGTTTAACAAACATAAGTGCTGATACATGATTTTTGAGAATTCTTGAGCGTGTTGGTGTTATTATCAAATTCATGTGACTGAATCCCCTCTCACACTCAGCAGTACTAGTAGGAATAACTTGTCAACGGCTCAGTAATGGGCGTAAATCTTGGGGGATGCGGCGTCCACCATCCTCCACGTAATCTCTGAAGGCATTATCACAGAGGGAGAAGAAAGCTTAAACCTCTTACAGAAAGATGATATTGCAGCTCCTCCATAATTAGGCGGTATTTCAGCAGGCCAGTAGTCTTTATCAAGGACACACATTTCATTTAGCAGGGATTTATACATACTTTGAGGTTCAGAAGAATGAGAACCTTTCAAGGATGTTGTCGTGAACATACGGTGCTGCAAATTGTTTATGAGACTAGTAAGAAACTGTAGATAATTAATGGAGACAATTTTGTTGCTGCTTACTAAGGTAATTTCTCCAAACTTCCCCCTTTCAACTGCCTCTCGAGCTTCTAGAGTTTTTGTACTAGGTTGTTCTTTCAGTCCATGCAGTGATCTTATGCTCCGTTGGATCAGTTTGTCTGCATAAACAATCGTAGAAGTGCGTTTCTGTAAACACCCTGACAGTAAACCAAGTTCATGCAACGTGTTGTGGGGTTGACGTGATGTTGGATCGCACTAGGCTGGAGGTGAGAAGGGAACTCAGCTATGGCGTTTTATATATAAATATCTTGATAAAATCACACGGGAAAATGGAAACAACGGAGTACCTTAGCTTTCGTCTTTATTCAAGACATCTTCAGATGTCTTGAATAAAGACGAAAGCTAAGGTACTCCGTTGCTTCCATTTTCCCGTGTGATTTTATCAAGATTTATCTTATCCACGTTTTCATTGTGGATTTACATGATATATATATATATATATATATATATATATATATATATATATATATATATATATATATATATATATATATATATATATACACAATGCAGTGCTAGGGAGTTTCTGTGTGGTGAGGAGCTTGTTATGTGGAGGTCTTGTCTTTCACGACGAGGCTGTGGGCTTATATACGAGTCCACCACCGGAAGTAAGCGGCGTTGTTACCCCTCCCCCCCCCAGCTCAGTCCAGGCAGCTAGGCTTGTCAGAGAAACTCGTCTCGGGATCTTGTTTTATCCTTCATTGCTTTTTCAAAATGAAAACACAGTGTTTAATAATTTTGCCACACTGCTGAAACTGTTCGAAACGAGCTAGCTACCCACCTGGTGCACAGAACACGGCCTATTTTGCAAATTTGTTGTTTTAGTTCAGAGGCACATTCAGACAGTTCCTTTTGATTTAGAAGTGATCTACTGTAAATAGAGTACAATTTGTCCATAAATGATTGAAAATTATTAACTCCATGAACTTCTGTCACCGAATCACCTCCTGCAAGTTCTAATCTGTGATTAAGACAGTGCCAAATTATCACATCAGGGTAATGTTCCTTGAGAATTGTAGCAACACCCGATTTGACACCAAGCATTACTTTCGCCCATCACTTGCAAATGCTACAAGGTTCTGTTTCAAGTAAGAGTCATCAAAACCATGGTTATTGAGACAGCTCAATAGATGCTTAGCAATAGTTGCAGCTTTTTGATCAGGCAGTTCAATTAGATCTAAAAACATAAAATGGGGATCACCTTCCTTACCACTTTCTCATTTAAAATAACTATTAGGGCAGTCTTGATGCTCAGGCTTGTTGATTCATCATTGAGAACAGAAATTTTATCATTATCTGCTTGATATGCTGGCAAATTTTCTTCCTCATATTATTAATGATGTCTGTAGCACTAATGCGGGAATGCAGTCCAAATCCAATATCAATACCATTTTTGTTTTGAAATTCCAGTTAGCCAAAGTGATCAGAGTATGGTCCGTCATTCTGAGGTAAATAATATAAAAAAAAACGAAAAATTGAACAAGTTGCCTTTGGATGCGAAGCATTCATGGTGTCACATAATTTTCCAAGAGCATCTTCACTAGCTTTATTTTCAACACTTAGAGCAGCAATGTGAGCTTTTGACAGTTTGAGATCAACATTTTTTTTCTGAGACTTCAAGCGTGTACTTCGATCGGCTTCATAATAGGATACTTGGCACATTTGCCATTCATTTGACAGCCTCGAGCCCTTAGAAGTGAAAAGTGTCAGATTGCTTATGTTTGCACGTACTTTACACCCAAGTTTATCATTCTTGAAGTCTAACTAGGGATAAGTTTCCTTCTTTTTCTTCCACATTTCTTCAGTCCAAACACCTGCACAGGGTTACAAGCCTGACCTCGAAGCACCATTACTTTCTGAAATGCATTTGGAGTCAGTTAGAAAATTTGCACTAGAAGCAGGTGAAACACAGCTTTTGTCCCTTTTACTATTAGCAGTCTCTTGTACGTTATTCTTGTTACACTCCTCAGCTCGTTTTTTTTTTACGGTGATTAGCCCACCCGGGAACAGGTCACTGACCCACATCGGGGCCTGGGGGGCAAAAATATGATAATAATAATAATAATAATAATAATAGTAATAATAATAATAATAATAATAATAATAATAATAAAGAACTATAAAGAAATAAAAAAAAATGAAGAAAAAAAGATGAAAAGTGAGAAACAATATTTGTATGTTGTGTTGTCAAAGTAAGAGAAACAATTGAGACCCTGCAATTGTGGGTAAATGAGGCAGAAAGTCAGATCAGCAACCTGGGACTTGGTCACAATTTTTTGTGATGCCATATGGCAGCAGGGTCTACCATTAGACAACACATAATGCTTTCAATATCTTCCCAGATGGTAGTACCTCCCTGTTTGGTAGCTGCCTACTACCTATTACGAAAGAAAGAAGTTAATGTTGTTTACTTAGAAGCCATAGGGTTGTTAGTGAGGAAAATTAAATTTAGTATTAGCGAGTAATCCACGGACCACCACAGATGTAGCCTTACTAATGCGGCTGTTTGTGCGAGATCTCCTACATGTACGCATGTATGTGAGCCTAACAAAGAGAAAACAGACAACTGGCCACATACACTACGCCACAAAGTTACAAGCCCTTACCCAAGTCATATGATTTCACTTGCACTCTTCAAATGTTTAATTTAGTTGATTTACCCCACAGAAAGTAGTATTGATAGCTTTACATACACTCTCACCCAAAAAGATAAATATAATTATTCCATTTCACAATAAGGAAATCACATTAATCATTCGTGCCTAAAACATCTTTTGTGAGTCCATCCTAGTCGTGGATAAATTACCGTCTCGTATATAGTAAATGAAAACACAGGTAAAAATATACATAATTTATTAAAAAAGTAATAATGTACATATATTGATTAAATAACTCTCAGGGAGTCCTCATATGCAGTGCTTCTATAATCTTTATATTGGGATGATAAAAAAGTGAAATGTATGACACCTGTTAATTAATGAGGACTTAAAATAATCACTACAGGTAAACAAGGATGTATGACACGATGAAGAGGACAAAATGAAGAAATTATGAAAGTTAACCATGAACTAGTTAAAGCACATAAAAAAAAAATACTTTGAATTCTCTTGTACTCTCTACACTGACCTAACGTGTGAATTTTACACCGACCAAAATGACTACTTGTGGTTTTGTCCAACTTAATCTATGGCCTCTGTAATCTGACCAAATACAGTGTGCTTAAACGTGATCTTTATTGTCATCAAAATAAAGTGATTCTTTGTGTGAAGCGTGTGACCTTTTCCCGGACTGAACACTGAAGAGTTTAAAAAAAAAATTGTTTGTCTCCTCTCCAATGTTCAGTTCTATCTTATGCCAATTAACAGTTACTTATGAGAAGCAACACATTTATTGGTATTGTGCAAAACGTAACGCAGTAATTTACAAGAAAATTTTTATTAACAAATACCTTTAAAAATAAGAGTTTACTGACTTAGCTGATGTGTCCACTACAAGTATTACAGGAAGGCATTTGAAAACCTCCAGTAATAGTTACACATAACATGTACAGTATTACTTCTATTTGACGGTTACATAAATTTTGATTATATCTAAACAAATGTAATGACCAATCTGGTGGTGGAAGACCTAAGTAGTGATGTGTGCAGCTCATAAGAGAGCACAGAGCGACACAGTGCAGCAGTTTTACAACTATGCACAAAAATACTGAGACTATATTATTGTAGCTAGGCACAGTGGTTCTACAGATGTGCACAAGTGTTGGAGCTACACAGTGATGTAGTAGTAGTGAGGGGGCGATGGTGCAGGTGTGGACAGTATTGTTGGAGCTACACAAATACATCAGTCACAGCACACAGGTGTTTCGAGGTCGACCCAAATTCTGAGGTTGAAATTGTTACATTGTTGCACACGTCTTGGGAGTTCATCATCACCGGTGTTGAGAGACTAACATGATTCCCCATAATGTTAAAAATATAATCAAGACTGTCAACAGGAGGATTTTTTTTCACCAAACGTCTTTCCGTCATTGATCAACGTTGTCATGCATCTTTAGAAACAGAATTATAAATCTCTTTCGTCTGTCATATATAAAATAGTAATACAATTGTGTGTCTTTATCAAACACTGGAATGAAAATACTCCGAAATATATTCATGAATTAGCACTTATTAATCCTTACCCCTTCATTACGGGAACGCCACTTTTAATATTTTATTTAGTTAAAGCCAGACGATTTTATTCAGCTGAGAGGGGAACCCATACATAAGAGGGAAGAAGTAGAAGGAGCTTTAACACAACGAGACATGAACACAAACACGTCACCATCCACTAAATGGTTCCCAAATCCTCCTCAATAATCTCGGCCTCAGAGTCTGGGTCCAGGTGGTCTCAGGTGGCTGGCGGGGCGGTCCTGAAGGATTTGCCGGAGTTCCTAAACTTCCTGATGCCGACGATGATGAGGGCGATTACCAAGACCACGGCGATGAAGGCCAAGATCACCCCCGTCACCACTGAGGCGTTGGAGGTGGTCACTGATTGTACGATCGCCTCGCTCTCTCCTGCAGTATCAGTTTGGAAGTTGTGAAGGTGATAGTGGTGATGGTGATTGTGATGGTGAAAGTGATAGTTGTTATGGTGATTGTGGTGGTGATTGTGGTGGTAACAGTGGTGATTGTGGTGGTGATAGTTGTTATGGTGATTGTGGTGGTGATAGTAGTGATGGTGAATGCAGTGATAGTGTTGGTATTGGAGAGGAAGAAAGAAAGCACCATTAATACACTATAATTTTATGTGTACTGTACAGTCACTCCAAAAAGTATCTTACCGATTCTGTGTTGAGACAATATGACAACGGACGAAGGATTTTGACAACCCTACCGAGACAACAGGAGTCGCAGTGTTCATTCTGAAATTCATCGATCACCACCGTAAAGTTACTTTCTGTAGCGACTGTACCTCTATATGTAGTGACTGTACCTCTATATGTAGTGACTGTACCTCTATATGTAGTGACTGTACCTTTCAATACCTGTACATTAATTTAATAATAAAATAAATAAGATTAAATTAAAAAGGTTTGTTCAAATTATTAAAAACAAATCGATATTGCATTTAGACTGATCTATCTTAATCTATCCTCTCCTAACCTAACACTATCCTAATCTAACCTAACACTTTCCTAAACTAACCTCATCCACCCGAAATAGCATTAGGTTGAGTAATCTTTTGGTGAAATAAACAGATGGAGAGTCTTCAAGTGACCCAAGAATGCAAAATGGCAATAAGTTTCAATATGGTAAAGCAAGGATCCCAGGAGAGGGGGGAGGAATTGAGTGATTGACTGGTAATTCCATCCCTGGCGACGCAACAGCTTAGGTCATGAGAGGAGGGGAAGGGGAGGAGGGGGACTTACGCCAGCCGATGAACTCTCCGCGGTTCTGGGACTCGAGCCAGGCCAGGAGAGGGGCGAAGTACTCCAGGATGGGCTCAGCGTCCAGTTTGTTGGTCTTGTCGCTCGTCAACACCGATAGCGCCTCCGTCCACGGCCGAGACTTACCCAGCGACAACACGTTTCTGTAAAGGATGAGAGGAGTTGAACTGTGGGTGGTGGTGTGTGGGCGTGTGGGTGGTGGTGTGTGGGCGAGTGGGTGGTGGTGTGTGGGCGAGTGGGTGGTGGTGTGTGGGCGAGTGGGTGGTGGTGTGTGGGCGAGTGGGTACTGGTGTGGAGTGAGTACTGGTGAGGGGGTGGTGTGTGGGCAGTGGGTGCTGGTGTGTGGGCGGTGGTGTGTGGGTGAGTGGGTACTGGTGTGTGGGCGGTGGTGTGTGGGTGTGTGGGCGGTGGTGTGTGGGCGAGTGGGTACTGGTGTGTGGGCGGTGGTGTGTGGGCGAGTGGGTATAATGGTATCATATACTGTACATACACCAATTATAATGGGAGTTAGTTGAGGAACTTTAATTCAAGTCAATAATCCTAGTTCCTCTTCAATAATCCTAGTTCCTCTTCAATAATCCTAGTTCCTCCTCAATAATCCCAGTTCCTCTTCAATAATCCTAGTTCCTTCTCAATAATCCCAGTTCCTCTTCAATAATCCTAGTTCCTCCTCAATAATCCTAGTTCCTCCTCAATAATCCTAGTTCCTCCTCAATAATCCTAGTTCCTCCTCAATAATCCCAGTTCCTCTTCAATAATCCTAGTTCCTCCTCAATAATCCTAGTTCCTCCTCAATAACCCCAGTTCCTCCTCAATAATCCTAGTTCCTCCTCAATAATCCCAGTTCCTCCTCAATAATCCTAGTTCCTCCTCAATAATCGTAGTTCCTCCTCAATAACCCCAGTTCCTCCTCAATAACCCCAGTTCCTCTTCAATAATCCTAGTTCCTCTTCAATAACCCCAGTTCCTCTTCAATAATCGTAGTTCCTCCTCAATAATCCCAGTTCCTCTTCAATAATCGTAGTTCCTCCTCAATAATCGTAGTTCCTCCTCAATAATCGTAGTTCCTCCTCAATAATCCTAGTTCCTCCTCAATAATCGTAGTTCCTCAATAATCGTAGTTCCTCCTCAATAATCCCAGTTCCTCCTCAATAATCCCAGTTCTTCGTATCAATAATCTTAGTCCCTTATCGGCACACCATTGAACCTTTACTCGTTCTTACTTGAGGAGTTTTCCGGCCTTGACAGAGCGGTAAATATCACAGTGGTGGAGTGGGCCCTCGTGGTCAGCAGCCTTGCACAGCTCAGCGTGGAATTGGAATTGTATGATGAAGCTGACGAAGTACCTGGTGGTGCAGGAGACAGATGCCCGATGAGTTATGTGGGTGTTATTGTGGGTTGTGGCGTAAAATAGACATCATTGTTTACTATACCATCTACGTTATACACGATTCATAACACGTATATAGTTTGGTATATTATATGGCGATCGAAAAGTCCCTATACACCTGTAATAATTAACACTATAGTTATATACCTTGCTCTACTTACAGTCAAATACTGGGTTAGGTTAGGTTAGTACTATGACAAGTGTGTAGTTTACCTGACGTAGGGAACGTTGGCAGGGACATGGAACTTGGCGCCAGGGTCGAAGTCGTCCTCATCCCTGGGGACGGGCGGTGACACCCCCTGCACACTGAGTCGAAGGTCCCACCACCGGCTGTTGAGTGAGGATTCTCCTATTTCGCCGCTGAACACTTCCCACCGCCACTGTCAACAACACCACACATTATCAAACTGTTATTTATTCTTATTTCTAACTCACTTATTATGTGTGTGTGTGTGTGTGTGTGTGTGTGTGTGTGTGTGTGTGTGTGTGTGTGTGCGCAAGAGGTGTGTGTTTGTCTGAATGTCATGTGTTTGTGCATGAATTAGGTGTATTTGTGTCTGCATGAGGTGTCTATGTGTAAGTAAAGGTGTTATATTAAAAAAAATCATCAGTTCCCAACCCAAAAGTTCAATCATACCAACTAACAGAGAGATGAAATGATAAACGAATACAAAAAAAAATCACCAAAACTAAGACTGGTGCCTGCACAAGCGACTTACCTGATCTACTAAGTAACCAAAAGGCAGAAAAGCGATTTTATCCAAGGCCATTGTGAAGAGGAAGTTAATATCCGTCTCATAGGAATCGTCCACGTTGCTAACGAGGTTCACAGCCTGCAAGTGTCGAGGCGTGGAGACTGACAGCGCGAGGACGTCGCCTACCGCCTCGTGGAACCCTGGATTAGCGCCGTCCCTGCCAGGATAAATACATAGTGAAAACTTCCTCATATAAAGGACTGACCTCTTATACATATATAGTCCGTTAAATAGAGGTTACACTGTATAATGAGGACTGGTGATGGAACAATAAGGTCTGGTGGTGATGGTACAATAAGGTCTGGCGGTGATGGAACAATAAGGTCTGGTGGTGATGGTACAATAAGGTCTGGTGGTGATGGTACAATAAGGTCTGGTGGTGATGGAACAATAAGGTCTGGTGGTGATAGTACAATAAGGTCTGGTGGTGATGGAACAATAAGGTCTGGTGGTGATGGAACAATAAGGTCTGGTGGTGATGGTACAATAAGGTCTGGTGGTGATGGTACAATAAGGTCTGGTGGTGATGGAACAATAAGGTCTGGTGGTGATGGTACAATAAGGTCTGGTGGTGATGGAACAATAAGGTCTGGTGGTGATGGTACAATAAGGTCTGGTGATGATGGCACAATAAGGTCTGGTGGTGATGGAACAATAAGGTCTGGTGGTGATGGCACAATAAGATGTCTGGGTCTGGTGTGATGGTACAATAAGGTCTGGTGGTGATGGTACAATAAGGTCTGGTGGTGATGGCACAATAAGGTCTGGTGGTGATGGGAACAATAAGGTCTGGTGGTGATGGTACAATAAGGTCTGGTGGTGATGGCACAATAAGGTCTGGTGGTGATGGTAACAATAAGGTCTGGTGGTGATGGGAACAATAAGGTCTGGTGGTGATGATAATAAGGTCTGGTGGTGATGGGAACAATAAGGTCTGGTGGTGATGTAACAATAAGGTCTGGTGGTGATGGGAACAATAAGGTCTGGTGGTGATGATACAATAAGGTCTGGTGGTGATGGACAATAAGGTCTGGTGGTGATGGGAACAATAAGGTCTGGTGGTGATGGTACAATAAGGTCTGGTGGTGATGATACAATAAGGTCTGGTGGTGATGGTACAATAAGGTCTGGTGGTGATGGGAACAATAAGGTCTGGTGGTGATGGTACAATAAGGTCTGGTGGTGATGGGAACAATAAGGTCTGGTGGTGATGGGAACAATAAGGTCTGGTGGTGATGGGAACAATAAGATCTGGTGGTGATGGGAACAATAAGGTCTGGTGGTGGTGGAACAATAAGGTCTGGTGGTGGTGGTAACAAGACCTACCTGAAGATGAAGGGCTGGTTGCGGTACTGAAGGTCGTACTGAATGTGACCCATCTCGTGGTGCGTGGTGATGAGGTCCTCTGTCGTCACCTGTGTACACTGCTTGATCCTGGGCGAGGGAGGGAGATATACTGTAAGTGTTGTTTGTTATCTCACTCTCTATATCTCTCTGTCCTCTATATATATATCGGTCTCTCTGTCCTCTATATCGGTCTCTGTCCCCCTCTCTCTATATCGGTCTCTGTCCTATATCGGTCTCTGTCTCTCTCTTCTATATCGGTCTCTCTGTCCTCTCTTCTATATCGGTCTCTCTGTCTGTCCCCCTCTTTCTATATCGGTCTCTCTGTCCCCCTCTCTCTTCTATATGGTCTCTCTGTCTCTGTCCTCTGTCTCTCTAATTCTTCTTCCGTCAGTCTTCCTCAACCTCCCTTTCTTTTCTACTTCTCTCTCTCTATATCTCTTTTTCTTTTCTAGTTGTTCACGTACCCTTAAAACATATTATTAGACAGGTTAAGATGTCCAGGTTAATTAGGCAGGTAGAGCTGAGAGAGTAGGTCACGTAACTCACCTGTAGTCAAAACCATTACAGAAATCCCAGGCTGATGCGTGACACACAACCTCCCTGTCGGTGGGCTTGACGATCATCGACTTCTGCCAGAATGTGAAGGGCATGGGATCGAGCCCCAGCGAGGTGAAGAACTCCTCCGCCAGGCCAAACATGCTGAGGGGCGTGTAACCCTGGCGACGGAGGGCGTTGGTGACGTCAATGGTAGTGCGCCCACGGTATGGGACGGTGAGGTCCAGTGTGTGGGTCCACGTCTGTGCCCACATGTTTCCTGAAGGAGGGAGAGAGTGAGCGAGGCATGTGAGGAGAGAGAGAGAGAGAGAGAGAGATCTAGGAAAGAGAACCTCAATAAATGTCAAGGAGAATATAATATAATATAAATAATAATAATAATAATAATAATAATAATAATAATAATAATAATAATAATTAACGGTTTATTGAAAGAGCTTGGCAGCCAGAAGGCTGAAAATATACAGTTACATATTTGGGGAATGGGTTACGAATTACAAATAATATACAGTGAGTGTGTGAGTGAGCAGAGACATTACGACACCATGCCATAAAACACACACCACAACTACTACTTTGCTGTCACTTGGAATCGAGTATGACGATCATCCAGCTATGGTAAAATGATATGAGTTATTAGGGATGTCACCTAGGTTGGTGAGTTTTGAGGTGACTAAAGAGGCCGATACGGGACCTGCAGCGTCATTCACATTCGTTGCACATGTGGAGGGCTACATCTACTGTGGGAGGGGCGGTGACAGCGTCTTTCCGGCGTTGGAGCTTGTCTGCCTCGGTTTGCAGTCGGGCTAACTCGAAAGTATTGACACTTTCTCGTATGGTGCTCCTCCAAGCGTTACGGTGTGGAGTAATCGACTCTCACACACACACACACACACACACACAAGGGACAGAAGACAATGTAATATGTGACCTTGTATTAGCATATAGATAATGATGGGTGTTGTGGAGGAGGCATCACGGTGCTGACGTCATCCTGATAATATTAGTGCTCCTATTATTGTTGTTACTTGTTGTTTTTGTAAATATTTCTTGGTGTTGGGACTTATTTGTTCCAGATAATGAGTATAATTTGTTGTGTATGTATGAATGTAGTGTAATGGTCAGCATGCTCGCCTCGCAAGCGAGCGGACCCGGGTTCCATCCCCGGGCAGGGTGAAACTACGGGCAAGTTTCTTTACGCCATTTGCCTCTGTCTACCCAGCAGTAATTGGGGACCTGGATGTAATAGATTTGCGGATCGTGTTCTGGGGTAATGGTTAGCCAGTGCAGTTGGCGAGTTGTCCGGTCTTCTGGGACTATTCCTTGACACTGGGTCATGCAACTCATTAACTCAGGTTGTGGTTGTTGTGTTGGCGACAGCTTCTACACCGTAAACAAATTCACGACTAGGTGGCCCTTGGGCCGGCCATCCTCGTTACACCAAGGGCAAACATTATTATGTATGTATGTATGTATGTTAAGTCAGACCAATACCTAACTTAACCTTACCCAGAAGATGTGCAGGAATAGGCCCAGCGCGCGGCACCACCACCTCACCATACTTCTCCCTCAATTTGGTCCTGACGTAGGCGTGTAGTTGCTCGTAAAGGGGCCGCAGTTTATCCCACAGTTCTTTCAGCTGCTCGCGGAAGTTGTCAGTCTCGTAGTCACTTCTCCAGTACTCCCCGGCGTCGTCATAACCTGAAGAAGCAGATAAAGGAGAGGATAAGAGGAATTTTTTTTTATCGAAGATCGTTGAGGTATTCTAACACCACGGATTATCAGATGTAATAACCTAACCTAACCTAACCTAACCAAACCAAACCAAACCAAACCTAACCTTATCTAACTTAGCCTAACCTTATCATTAATATTTCTCACATTCCAGATTATGTCACACACTTCCCCCCAATAGAATCACAGACAACTTACCATTCAATCTCGCCGCCTCATTCGCCAACTCGACGAAGCGAAGGTACTTCTGACGCAGTGGCTTCCCGGCGGCCTCCCTCCACGCCCTCCACACATATCTAAGCTCTTCGGGGTCTCGTGATGTCGCCATGATATTCGTCAGGTCTGTTTTGGGATATTTGAAGGTATTTGGTGGTGAAAATTAAACCCAAATACATTTTACAAAGTTACAAACATCCAGTATTGATTCTTATACAGTACAAGAGTGAATCAAAACATTAGCCTGACGTAAACAGAAAATACGTCTTTCATACCAGCTATTAAATCATACACAAATTAATGGCCATAAAATGAAAATTATACCGTAATAAACCCTCAAATTAAATACCCAAATATCATCTAAGATTAATATATCCTAGAAAAAAATTAGGTTCACTCACCGGGCTCTAAACTGGATGTCGGAATACAACCGATCTCGTTATCATCCTCCACCTCAAAGTCGGTATAGTAGTCATAGTCACCGTCTGGCAGCCTCCGTCGCGTTGAGTCGTATTTACAAATCTTGGCCGAGGAGTAACTCGTCTTCATATCCTGTACGAGTTCTGTTAGCTGGAAGGATAGAGTGTTTTGCTTGGTGAGAATTGATGATGAAATGTCTGTACAGTAAATCGTCTTAACAGACTAATAATTCTTGCAGGAAATCCTCTTTTTTTTTTACTTAAACAGTTGATTACATGGGGATCACTGTCAAGGTTCTAGCCTAATCACGTGGTACCTGGTTTAAAGAACAATTTTGTTAAAAAATACCATCTATGAAAAACCTTCCCCAGGATTATTAAAGTAAATTATCATAAATTACATAGTTAAGGACATTGGATTAATTAAAGCCACAAAAAATATAATAATGTAGACATAGTAGATAATATTTTAGAAAACATTACACAGTAATACACAGGAGAATCAGCGGAGTTGGGAGTGTCTCGCCATCTACTCTCTCTACCACACTCTCCCCATCTCTTTCTCTCCACTTCTCTCTCTACCCACCACTCTCTCTACCCATCCCCCTCTCTCCCCTCCCACCCTATCTCTTACTTCCTGCAGTTTCTCCTTGGGTAGCGCCGCCTTGCCCAGGACGGTGACGAAGGAGAACATCCTTCTGACGGGGGAGTTGGTGAAGTTCTTCCAGGCAAAGGTGGTCGCCTCGTTCCACTTGTTGCGGTGAAATTCCGACCATTCCATCTGTCGCTCCAGCTGCGGGGAGGAAGACTTGTTAGAAAATTGTCAGAAAACAAAATAATGAAAACTTATTAAACCACACACACAACCTCCCCCCCTCCCGCCCTCATCCCCCCCCCACACTCACGGAATTCCTACAGATATTGACACACACAGACACACACACACGGGAAGAATGCGTTCGTCTCAACAGCATCACACAACAAAGGCTTCACGTCACCATTGTCTCATATATTTCGCAAACTTTGAGATGATTATCGAGTTCCGGTGGACAGATCAAAAGTTTATGGTGTGTGTGTGTGTGTTCGTTGGGGGAAGTGGGCGTAACAAGGAAATATACGTGCTTACGAGGGTGTGAAAGAAAGCATGGGCGTGGTGTGGGCGTGAGAAGTGCAGCTCCCACCTCACCTGCAACAATTATCGTATTTGGAATCGTTGTGCCTTTGTTATGCAGGAAGGTGAAGTTTACTGCCTCCGTCAAGGTCACGTATTTACCTCTTACAACTGTTATAGTATACAGTAGATGACATGATAACAAACGCAACATGTAAAACAAATGAGAAGAGGACTTGGAAGGTGACACTCATTATCTCCAATCAGGGTCAATAGAGATGTAAAAGTATAGATAACATACAACAAACGTAATAAGTAAAACAAATGAGAAGAGGACTTGGAAGGTGACACTCATTATCTCCAATCAGGGTCAATAGAGATGTAAAAGCATAGATGACACGAAACACACCCAATAAGTAAAACAAATGAGAAAAGGAGGGTTTATAAAGAGTTTGCAGAACCAAGACAGTGCAAATCGAGCTTAAACACCTGGCGGCAGTTCCTACAAACATAATCCGTGGACGAGATGAGGCATTAGTGTTTGGTAGCAGGTGTATGTGTGTAGTATGTGTCAAATAAGAGACCTGCCACCACACCATCCTGTCCCGTCAACCTGTCAACCATTAGCGGGTTATTAAGTGTCTTTCCTCACTAGTATTGTGGCGGGATGGGGTGGGGTGGGGTAGGGTGGGGCGGGGCGTGGTGGGGCTGAAATACACGTGCGACAGGAAGGCCCCCCCCCCCCTCGGCGTCCTCAATAATACCTCCACCTACCTATTATAATTCTTGCCTCCTGTGGCCTTGACCAAACTTCTGCCGATCACCTGTTATAGACCAAACCATCACCTTCTCCAGCTGGCTCAAGACAGATGGTGAGGCACTGACGAGTTCCCCCTCATACCTGCTGTAAAATAATACCTGTAATCAACACACACACACACACACACACACACGAAAAAAATATAAACCCTAGACTCTACTTTAACCTTGACAGTGACGAAGATCCTTGTGTTTAGGATGTGAGCAATATTTTGGTGTACCTTGAGTTGACACAGCAGCGGAACCGGTGTGAGGAGGAGGAAGAAGGGGGGGGGGTTAGGAGAAGAGGGGCAGGAGGAATAGGGGGAGGAGCAGGAGGAAGAGAAGAAGAATAAGAGGAAGAGAAGAACTGAATAAGAAGAAAGAGGAGGTACGCTACGCACAAACTCAAATAGTAATCACGAGACCAGGGGAAATAAGATCACTGGAGCCTGGCAAAGGAGGTGACCTTGGCCGTGGTCGAGGCGTGGCGTTGACTGACTGAATCACTTACTGACGGACGGGTGTGGGGCGGGGAGGGCGGGAAGGAAGGAGGTGATCTGAGGACGATGAGTTTGAATTTTAGTCCGACAGAGGGCGGCGGAATACACCACTTTGCGCGCTAAGTCTCCCGTCACTAATCTTGGACCAGAGAGAAAGAAGAAAAAAAAAAGGAACAATGCAGAGTGATGGAAGGAGTGTGACGACCTTCAAGAACGACCTTCGAGGACGACTTTCAAGGACGACCTCAATGACTCTTGTGCAAGATATTTACCACCTTCAATATCTCTTGTATAGGTCATTCGTGTTACCCTCAGCATCATAAATCCATCCGTGTCAACAATCCAAGTCTCATTCATCACATAATTAAAAACAACAAAATCAACAAAAAAAATAATAACCGCCCCCCCAAAAACAACAGAATTAACCAAAGGCAAAACAAAAGACTCGTGTTGTAATAACCAGGAATGTTCTACAACTTTCACTTATTACGTAAAACTATATAATAATAATATTCTTTTATATACATTTATATTCAGGATCCCTTGGTAGATAATGATATAACAATAACAACAATAACAATACCAAAAATAAGAATAATAACAATAATAACAATACCAAAAATAATGACAATAACAACAATACCAATACCAAAAATAAGAATAATAACAACAATAACAATACCAAAAATAAGAATAATAACAACAATAACAATACCAAAAATAAGAATAACAACAACAATAACAATACCAAAAATAAGAATAACAACAATAACAATACCATCAAAAGAATAACAATCAACGACATAGAGGAAGTAGGGGTCGTTTTACGCGGTGGTGGTGCTTGCGTAAATGTGGGCAAGGTTACAGCTCACTATACGCACCTGCTTGTGAGAAACGAAATTAATGGGGCGATTAGGTGTATGTCATGCCAGATGTGTATGTGTGTGTGTGTGTGTGTAATATTAATTAATCGTCCCTTTTACCACATAAAATCCTTCCACTCCATCTCTACCACTCCACAGTCCACCTATGCCACTCCACACTATATAAGATACTCCATATTCCACCTACCTAACCCTTTCAACCACTCATTTCATACCACACACTCCCACTCATCACACCACACTCCCACTCATCACACCACACTCACACCACACTCATCACATCACACTCCCACTCATCACACTACACCCTACCATCACACCACACCCCACCATCACACCACACCCCACACATCCACACCACACCCACCACACACCCACACACACACATCTACACCCACTCATCACACTACACCTCTACGCATCACACCACACCCTACGCATCACACCACACCACCTACGCATCACACTACACTCCTACGCATCACACTACACACATACACCATACGCACACACTACACTACCTCACACCACACTCCTACGGCATCACTACTACACCTACCATCACACCACACCCACGCATCACATCTACGCATCACTACACCCTACGCACTACACACCACCCCACACACACCTCACCTACGCATCACACTCACCCCACGCATCTCACACGCATCACACTCCACGCATCACACCACACCCCGCATCACACCACAAGCATCACATCACACTCATCACTACATGCATCACCATCACACCACACTTCTACCATCACACCACACCTACGCATCACACTACACCCTACGCATACTTACGCATCACACCACCCCTACGCATCACACTACACCCTACGCATCTACGCATCACACACACTCACACCACACCAGCATACGCATCACACCACACCCTACGCTACACATCATCACACTACACTCCTACACACACCTCTCCACACACACACCTCACACACCCACACCTCACACACCTACACTACCTCCACACACCACACACACCCTCACACCCCCTACACCACACCCCACTACACCACACCACACCACACACTACATCCTCACACCCCACTACACCACACCACACCACACACTACATCCTCACACCCCACTACACCACACCACACACTACACCCTCACACCCCACCACACCACACACTCCTCCACTCACTACACCCCGCCAGCAATAACAAAACTGTCTAAAATAGCAAGAGTCAACAACATGGTTACACACACACACACACAAACACCATTACAGATGAACCACAAACACAACTATCAACTCACAACCATCGCCAAACATATAAGCATCACTCCAAACACACGGCTGGCTTGAGGTTTATATCAAGACTTCGAAAATTAATAATAAAACAGGTGTGTGGTGCAGAGCGTCGACTTAACGAGGGAAGTGACGCTGCATTATGTTTGACGTTAGTCCTTGATTAAAATAAATATGCTGTCACACTGACTCTGCGGGCGGAGTATAGCATTATCTGAACCACGGATAACTTGTTGTGGTTAAATTTGACAAAGACGATTCGATTCTAAGGTTCTTAAAAGTCTAATTCTACTTCATATCTATCATGTTAAAATAGGGAGTGGTCATTTTACTCAACTGTCCGAGTGTCCCTTATGCCTGTTATCGGGATGACTAGTGGCGCCACCCTCAAAGCATACGGCCATTGAGTACACTAACCCAGGGACTATCACCTTTGTAATTCATCTACAATTAATACTACTACTATTATTATTATTATTATTATTGCTATTTGTTCATTAATAGTACTACCACCACCCCCCACAGGATCCTAAGTACACAAGCTCCAAAAAGTATCTTAATGATTTTATGTGAGACAATATGACACGACGGACGAAGGATTTTGACAACCCTACCGAGACAAGAGGAGTCATGGTGTTCATTTTGAAATTAATCGATCATCTCCGTCACTATACTTTTTTTGGTGTGTGTGTGTGTGTGTGTGTGTGTGTGTGTGTGTGTGTGTGTGTGTCGGAGTGAAAGTACCACATAAATACTTGACATCACGAGTTACATCACTACCTGGGTCATCCTCGAGAAATAAAACACAAAAACAGTAGAATCGGAAAAGACAATGGCAAGCCGGGGTGGGTGGGGGCGTAGGGAAGGTGGGCGGGTGGGCTGAAGGGGACGGTGGGTGATAACATCTGGGTGGGGGCGTAGGGAAGGTGGGCCGGTGGGCTGGAGGGGACGGTGGGTGATAACATCTGGGCGTGGGCGGGTCAGTTACAACACTACAGTCCTGTAAAATGTTACAAAGAATGGCCACTAACCTAATGTATTATAGTGTGTTGGTGTGTGTGAACTATTGTATGCTATCAAGACACATATAGCTCCCCGGATACATATTATAGCTATATTATTACATGTAGCTCCCAAGATACATATTATAGCTATATGGTGCAGTTCTAGTGGCTATATTAGTGTAAATAAACCAAATATATAACAGTGGCAAAGATTTGCTGCTAACGAACATATATTATTTGTTGTCAATGTTAATATATAATAAATACGATGCTACATTTTGCTATTGGTTAGTTAACACGGGAGAATGGGTAATACTTTAGAACACCGAGTCAGGTTAACTAAAAACTTTAGGGGGACAATTTTCTATAATACAAAACTTCTTTCTTTACGTCTATCACAAGAAATAATTTCAATCATGTACTCAGAACCATCGGTCATCAACCCTTACCGATATTTTCTTTATGTGGACAACAGGAAACTAAACTAGGGTGTGTCTTTCTACTTCCAGAACCGCATTATACTGGCTCCACACTTATACCAACACCGTCCATGGCTTGAGTCAGCCTACACTGTCAAAGACTTCAGGCCATCTGGCTTATTGTATCATGAACTATGTAATTACTAAATTGAATCAGGAGTCCTTGAGGACATTCTTGCGGTCTATCCTAAATTTGCTCACCCCGTGCACTCTGATTAATCCTCAAATAGAATATAACTTATACTGTATATGAACTACTGTCCTGCGTGGCAGTGAACAGTGATATCACCCTCATAAATATGACCTATAGTATTAAAGAATATGATCTATACTATTAAAGAATATGACCTATAGGGGGCAGTGAAATTTTGCTCAAAGCTGCACTCTTCAGGCATTGTTCCTTATACATATCTAAAACTCCATGCCAAATTTGAAGCTGATATGTCGAGGTTTAGTCTGCCGCATTTTCTACTGAAATTTTTAAATTTACCTACAGTACTAGCCAAACAGCCGCTGTGGCGGTGCAATGTTCTGTTCAGTGTTTATCAACTTTTTTTTTCATATCTCTTATTTCATTTAAGTTGTCTTGTTGCAGATGAGTATGGTGCTATGTCTATATTGATTATCAGTTCGAGGATGATGGTGAAAGATCATTATGTCATCATGGTTGAGCCTGGCAATGAATATCTCACACATGTGACTCCCAAGACTGGACACGGAAAGCAGATTGCCAAAACTATTCACGGGTTTCTGGTGGAGAAAAATCTAACCCAGCAGCCCATTGTGTGTGTTGGTTGTGATGGAACCAATGTAAATGTAGGATCAGAAAATGGAGTCATTCATCATCTTGAAATGTTACTTGGTCACCCGCTCCATTATTTCATATGTCAGCTTCACGGAAATGAGCTGCCTTTCCGCGCAGTTTTTTATCACTATGATGGTAAACCAAGTGGTCCTGAGCATTGGCGTGGTCCCATTGGAAAGCAGATCAAGGAGTCTTTGTCTGAGCTTCCAGTTGTCGCCTTCCAGCCAGTCAGTTTCCCTGATTTCCCTGTGTTTAATGATGAAGTGGAGAAAGATCTGTCCTGGGATCAGAAATACCTGTATAGGATTTGTAAAGGAGTTATCACAGGTGTTGTTGAAGATGACTTGGCTGCTATTGAGCCAGGTCCTCCCTGTGTGTCAAGGTGGAACACCTTATGGAGTAGAATCCTCAGGCTGTATGTAGCAACATCAAGACCCAGCCATGAGTTGAAAAGAATTGTCATTACAATAATAAAGTTCAGTGCTCCAATGTGGTTTTACATCAAGATACACCCTTACGTAACACACGGCTCAAGGAACGTATTCCAGTCCCTGCTATATATGAAACACCTGAATAGTGAGGAGGAGACGATAGTGAAGAAGGCTGTCCAGAGAAATGCATACTTCGCCCACACAGATCAACTTCTTCTTGGTATGTGTGCAGATGAGGACATGACTGTTAGAGAAAAAGCTGTCTCAATGATAAGAAAAATTAGAGAGGAGAATCAGCAAAAGGAAGAATGCACTGGCAGATCTGAAGAGGAGGAGGAAGATTCTGATGCTGCTGTTGACGAGAATTTGTTAAACTATACTGATGAGGAGGGCAAAGATGGAGATGGGAATGAGGATGTGCCTCCTGTAGTCACCATGAGAAAGGTGGTGACTCCGAAACTAAAGTGGCAAGCAAAAAAATATCATTCCATGATTAACTGGAGGAATGAACTCAAGACTGAGCCTCCTTACATTGCTTCTCTGTCAAATCTACAGGTTAATGACATTCTTGAGACACCATTAGTGGTGCCCAAGTGGCCAAACAGCACTCAGGCGGTCGAGAGAGGCATAAAAGTGATGACTGAAGCTTGCACTGAAGTGACGGGATACGAATCGAGAGATGGATATATTAGGCAAAGATTATTGTCTAGGAAAATGATGCCAAGGTTCCGCACAAAAAAGAATTTCAATATGAACTTGTAATGATTTTCTATACGGTGTACCTGTAAAATAACATGTGAATTAAATCGATGTCACCCATGTAAAATTTATCATTATCCTGGAAAACATTAAATGACACCTAATTTTTGGTATACACTAAAAGTTGACAAAAAGTCGTTCGCGATGCGGCAGGGTAAGTATGCATGAAATGGCATGAAATTTTGCACAGGTGTTTGTTACAGCCATACAAACGATGCCTGAAAAGTGCAGCCTGCAACTCAAATAAAAGTGTTTTTTCCCTGCCCCAATGACCTATACTATTATCCCCTTTGTGTATGAACCTCTGTCCTGCGTGGCAGTAAACAGTGATAGTGTCCGGGTGTCAAGACCTGATTGAATTACTGTACTCAGAGTAGGCAAATTGTACGCCAAGCTTTGCCAATAAAGTTGTTAAACTAAAAAAAATCGATTCCAAGCCCCCCCCCCCACTAGGGATTCATCAGCCTAGTGAACCTTCTCCCCTCTCCACCTATCCCTCTCCCTCTCCCTCCCACACACTCTGGACTCCCCTTATCACACAAAACAAGGCTCTGGCCCAAGGTTAGGGTACAAAAGTGATGTGTGATGTCACGCTACTATTAAGATCAAACAATTAGGTTGAGAGAACGAGGAAAAACCACGAACACCGAGGAAGAGGGGGGACAGGAGGCGACGAACAACGAGGAAAATGAGGAAAATGTCGTAAAAGAAGAAGGAAGAGAAGGAGAAGAAGAAGAAAAGGGAGGAGGGGGAGGAAAAGATGAACAACAACAACAAGGAAGAACAAGAACAAGGAAGACGAGAACTAACCATCTTGCGTTTGTTGAAGGAAGTGAGGTTGGTATTGTAGTCCCAGCTGGCCTCCATGAACCGGTTACACATGATGGAGGCCTCTCGGTCATACTGCCTCAGGAAGTTGATGGCCTCTACCTCGTTGGTGTTGGTCCCCTGTGTGAGGTTATGAACAAGGCGGTGGTGAGGTTAGATTAGGTTAGTGTTGATCTCTGTATGTGGACTGGATGATGGTGAGGGTACGGGGGGGTGGGAGCTGAAGGGGGGAGGGGATGAAGGGATAGGGTGGGGATAGGGGGAGGTTGGGGGGAGGGGGATGAGGGGATAGGGTAGGGATAGGGGAGGTTGGGGAGGGGGATGAGGGATAGGGTAGGGATAGGGGAGGTTGGGGGGGAGGGGATGAGGGATAGGGGATAGGGGAGGTTGGGGAGGGGATGAGGGGATAGGGTAGGGATAGGGGAGTAGGGGAGGAGGGGGATAGGAGGGGATGTAGAAGGGAGGATAGTGGAGGGAATATATCATTATATATCACATTCTATAACATAAACTATAATATAAATAAAAGATCAATAATAACTCATATATTGTACCTATATAAAGTAAGGTAAAGACATACACTATAATTTATACACACCATACACTGTATACATAAACATACGGTCATCACCTACACCATACACTATACACACCATACACTATACATAGATTTATATAGGCACTCCCCCCCCCACCACCCAACGTCGGTGCCTTGAAGAACTCTATACCATTTTGGCATCATGATCTTTTAAACTATGTTTGACCTCTAAAATTACAGGGTTTGACCTCATCTCTTAAAGTCCTGTATAAAACACGTCTTGACGTGAAGAAGAAGAAGAAGAAGAAAAAAGAAGATGACGATGAAGGAGAAGAAGAAGAAGAAGAAGAAGAAGAAGAAGAAGAAGAAGAAGAAAACCAACATTAAGTTAATTCTGTTAAGTGGCGGCTTTAACTTGTTCACGCGAAAGTCCTCTGGTAGACAGACAGACAGATATACAGACAGACAGACAGACAGATATACAGACAGAAAGACAGACAGCAGACAAATATATAAACAGACAGACAGTGGAGAGACAGGCAGACAAACAGACAGAGAGAGAGAGGGAGAATAATAATAATAATAATAATAATAACAATAATATGAAGTATGTCGAGAGATCTTTTAAGTGACGTCACCTGACCAACGACTTTGACCTCGATAGTCGTGACCTTAACCACGGTAAATCGTCACTGGTACAAGCCCGGGTCACCCCTAGTCCACCCAGCTGAGAAGTGAAGGCACTGGAGTACAGTGCCTTAAAGACCTGGACATCAACAACTACAGCTAAAAAAGGGTCATCATATGGTGCGTAAGTATGGTGTTAATGAGACCAATAAATACCGAAGCACCCCTTTATGGCCGCCAACACACACACACACACACATACATCGATTCATCACCTTTCTGTCATCCAAAATTCGTTTTTTATCAATATTTCTACACAAACCTTTAATAATAATCTCTATAACGCATTAATATTACATTCTATAATTTCTTACCATATTTTTTTTAATGTATAATCAACGGAGCATATCAGGGTTGGGTTATAGAGTTAGAATATTATAGAGGTTAGGATCGACGGCAACTATAAGGTATTAAAGAGGGTATTTAATCCTATCTGACGACCAGCTCTTGTTTACTTGTCGTTTCGGAAGGTGTTAATGCCCGGCAAGTTATCGCGTTTATAGTCTAGCTGTGTCTCTTTTTGTAGAGTTGAGTGTTATCAAAACATTTTATCTCTCTCTCTCTCTCTCTCTCTCTCCCCCTTTCTCTTTCTTATATCTCATTTCTCTTTGCTCTGTCTTTCTCCTTCTCTCTCCCTCACTTTCTCCTTTCTATCTCTTCCTGTCTCTCTTACCCCTTCTATCTCTCACATCACTCTCTCTCGTTCTCTCCGTCTCTCTCTCCCTTTTTATATCTCTCCCCTTCTTTAAATCTCCCTCTCCCTCCTCCCACCCCCTCTCTCCCTCCCACCCCACTCTCTCCCCCCCTCTCTCTCTCACCAGCATCGTCTACCCAGCCAGAAGTATAAGTGAAAGCAACATTGTATATTTCTTACTTTTTATAAGAGTTTAACTACTAGACCCACCTGTATAAAAACCTGTTAGGCAACGTCAGTCCTATTTGGGTATTCGCCCCCCACTACCCGTCCGTCCATCCACCCGTCCGTCTGTTTGTCTGTGTCCGTCCGTCCATCCACTCGTTCGTCTGTCTGTCCGTACCTCCACCAGTCCGTCTGTCTGTCCGTACCTCCACCCGTCCGTCTGTCCGTCCGTCCATCCATCCACCCGTCCGTACCTCCACCCGTCCGTCTGTTGTCATTCTTGGTAACTAGGTTTTGTGTCGATAGTTTGATTTAAGCCAAACATACATACACAATAATAATGGTTGCCCCTCGTGTAACGAGGATGGCCGGCCCAAGGGCCACCTCGAGGTGAATTTGTTTAAGGTGTAGAAGCTGTCGCCAACACAACAACCACACCCTGAGTTAACGAGCTGCATGACCCAGTGTCAAGGAATAGTCCGAGAAGACCGGACAACTCGCCAACTGCACTGGCTAACCATTACCCCGTAACACGATCCGCAAATCGATTAACCTCCAGGTTACCAATTACTGCTGGGTAGACAGAGGCAAATGGCGTAAAGAAACTTGCCCACAGTTTCACCCTGTACGGAGATCGAACCCGGGTCCGCTCACTTACGAGGCGAGCATGCTGACCATTACACCAGAGGTCGCCACACACACAGTTACTACATTTCCCCTCATACCTCACAACCCTCTTCCCTCACACCTGAGTCTCCCGGTATCATAGGGGAAGCCCGGTAACTCCCAGGAGTGTCCGGTATAGCCAGGTAGTGTCCGAAAGTGACCAGCGCCACACCCAGCCCCCCCCCTCCCCCCCCCACAAAAAAGTTGTGACGAGACAAGTTCCAACCGCAACCTCAGTCCCTGGTGTCATAGAGGAAGGCTGATAAGTGTCCGACATACCCGAGTTTGTCCGATATACCCGAGTTTGTCCAATATACCCGAGTTTGATACAATATGCCCGAGAGTGTCCGATATGCCGAGTAGTGTCCGATATACCCGAGTTTGTCCGATATACCCGAGTTTGTCCGATATACCCGAGTAGTGTCCGATATACCCGAGTTTGTCCGATATACCCGAGTTTGTCCGATATACCCGAGTAGTGTCCGATATACCCGAGTTTGTCCGGTATACCCGAGTAGTGTCCGAGGTATAACTAGTAAAGAATTGAAATAAATAGTTAATTACTAAACACAGCAATTACAAATATAAATACAGAGTGTTAAATTGAAATTTACAAGTGTTAGGTACAGGTACAGTGTTAGGTACAGGTACAGTGTTAGGTACAGGTACAGTGTTAGGTACAGGTACAGTGTTAGGTACAGGTACAGTGTCAGGTACAGGTACAGTGTTAGGTACAGGTACAGTGTTAGGTACAGGTACAGTGTTAGGTACAGGTACAGTGTTAGGTACAGGTACAGTGTTAGGTACAGGTACAGTGTTAGGTAGAGGTACAGTGTCAGGTAGAGGTACAGCACCATCAATAACAATACAATACAGTACCGTCACCAGAATCACATCTCCCTTATAAACACACGTGACCACACATAAACACTCACGATCTTCTGCAGTCACCCACCCAACAACAACGATTCCCACATCAACCACAACTACCACATCCACCACAACAACTACCACGCCCACAACAACTGCTACCATACCCACCACAACGACTCACACAGCCACCACAACAACGACCACAACAACGACCACACCCACCACAACCACAACAACGACCATACCCACCACAACAACGACCACACCCACCACAACCACTACCATACCCACCACAACAACGACCATACCCACCACAACGACTACCACACCCACCACAACAACGACCACACCCACCACAACAACGACTGGCCATACCCACCACAACAAACGACCACACCCACCACAACAACGACCATACCCACCACAACAACTACCATACCCACCACAACGACTACCACACCCACCAAAACAACGACTCACACCAACCACCACAACAACGGCTCACACCAACCACCACAACAACGGCTCACACCAACCACCACAACCACTACCACACCCACCACCAGGAAGCAACACAGACCCACCACAGTTAAAATGTCATACCTTAACCTAAAATACACTTAAAATTCTCCTAAATTTACTTCCTAAACATCGGAGACACTAGTGCTTTAAGAAAATAGAAGTATTTACATAATTATCTCAGCTTCAAGAAGTGAGATAATGTATATAAAATGTTCTATCTATCCAAACAGCATAAGTGTAAAATATATATATATATAGATTTACATTGATGGATATAATTGTGAAAAATATTATGAAAACAATTCTAAGTTGACTTGAGAATTACGTGGAAAAAAATACAATTGCAATATCTATATTTTCTATGGTATTATTATTATTTTATTATTTATTGTTATTATTATTATTAGTTATTATTATTATCATTATTATTATTATTATTATTATTATTGTTATTATTATTATTGCTATTATTATTGTCACTATTATTGTTGTTGTTATTATTATTGTTACTATTATTAGTATTATTTTATTATTGTTATTGTTTTTATTATTATTAGTTATTATTATTATCATTATTATTATTATTATTATTGTTATTATTATTATTACTGTTATTATTATTATTGTTGTTATTATTATTAGTATTATTATTAGTGTTATTATTATTGTCATTATTATTATTGTTACTATCATTATTAATATTATTATTACTGTTGTTATTATTATTATTATTATTATTATTATTACTACTGTTATTATTATTATTATAACTGTTATTATTATTATTATTATTATTATTATTGTTACTATTATTATTATTATTACTACTGTTATTATTATTATTACTGTTATTATTATTATTATTATTATTGTCATCATTATTTTAACTCTCCTGTAGACAATATTACTACTATCATTAGCCACTTGAGTACGATGACTTAACCCCTTCCGGGATGGGTCTAGTCCTCGCCGAAC